GTGTTCCCATTGCCGGCAGTAAGTCAGACCTGTTCCCGGTGCATGTTGGACTCCACCAGGGCTGCCCTTTGTCACCGGTTCTGTTCATTGTGTTTATGGACAGAATTTCTAGGTGCAGTCAGGGGCCGGAGGGTCCGGTTTGGGGACCACAGGATTTCATCTCTGCTGTTTGCGGATGATGTTGTCCTGTTGTCTTCATCGAACCAGGACCTGCAACGTGCACTGGGGCAGTTTGCAGCCGAGTGTGAAGCGGCTGGGATGAAGATCAACTCTTCTAAGTCTGAGGCCATGGTTCTCGACCGGAAAAAGGCGTCTGGCCCTCTCCGGGCGGGTGGAGAGTCCCTGCCTCAGGTGGAGGAGTTCAAGTATCTCGGGGTCTTGTTCACGAGTGAGGGGAGGACAAACGTGAGATTGACAGGCGGATCGGTGCAGCTTCGGCAGTGATGCGGTCGCTGTATCGGACCGTTGTGGTGAAGAGGAGCTGAGCCGAAAGGCAAAGATCTCGATTTACCGGTCAGTCTTCGTTCCTACTCTCACCTCTGGTCATGAGCTCTGGGTAGTGACCGAAAGGACGAGATCGCGGATACAAGCGCTCGAAATGAGTTTCCTCCGCAGGGTGTCTGGGCGTCTCCCTTAGAGACAGAGTGAAAAGCTCAGTCACACGGGAAGAGCTCGGAGTAGAGCCGCTGCTCCTCCACATGGAGAGGAGCGTCTGAGGGGAGGACGTCTGTTCTGACGTCTCCTGGGCGTCTCCCTCGGGAGGTGTTCATGTCCCACTGGGAGGAGGCACCGGGGAAGACCCAGGACACACTGGAGGGACTATGTCTCTGGGCTGGCCTGGGAACACCTCGGGGTCCCCCCGGAGGAGCTGGAGGAAGTGTCTGGGGTGAGGAAGTCTGGGAGTCCCTGCTTAGACTGCTGCCCCCGCGACCCGACCCCAGATAAGCGGACGAAAATGGGTGGATGGATAAAGCTAAAGTCGTCCTCCTGGGTTGTGGAACAGATCCTGATCTGATTCCGATGGAGCTTTGTTAGTTTAAATGTCCATCTGATGCAAAATAACTCTCTTCACGTTGTATCTTCTGCACAGTTTGGGTTTTTGAACATCAATTACACAATAGTTCTGAAATCTTCATGATTTCTTGGAGACGTCACAGACCAGGAACTATGAAAGTCCGACTATGAGCGCTTATAGGCCAGTTTCATTGTTGACAAAAGCGTGCGTTTCATGCTGGGAATTATTTTAGTCGGCAGCAAGAAACACTAATTGAACATGACGGACGGAGTGAGAAAACACGTAAAGGGTATTGATCCTGGTTATTTATCCAGTCTAACGGCAGACGACCCAACACCATTTGACCAGAAATTGGTCATAAACATCGACGGACGACAAATCACCTTCAGTCCTGGTTTAGTTCTGGTTCAGTCCTGGTTCAGTCCTGGTTTAGTCCTGGTTTAGTCCTGGTTCAGTCCTGGTTCAGTCCTGGTTTAGTCCTGGTTTAGTCCTGGTTCAGTCCTGGTTCAGTCCTGGTTCAGTCCTGGTTTAGTCCTGGTTTAGTCCTGGTTCAGTCCTGGTTCAGTCCTGGTTCAGTCCTGGTTTAGTCCTGGTTCAGTCCTGGTTTAGTTCTGGTTTAGTTCCTGGTTTAGTAGTCCTGGTTTAGTTCTGGTTTAGTTCTGGTTTAGTTCTGGTTTAGTCCTGGTTTAGTAGTGGTTTCAGTCCTGGTTCAGTTCCTGGTTTAGTCCTGGTTCAGTCCTGGTTTAGTTCAGTCCTGGTTCAGTCCTGGTTTCAGTTTGGTTCAGTCCTGGTTCAGTCCTGGTTTAGTCCTGGTTAGTCCTGGTTTAGTCCTGGTTTAGTTCTGGTTTTAGTCTGGTTCAGTCCTGGTTCACCTGGTTTAGTCCTGGTTCAGTCCTGGTTCAGTCCTGGTTTCAGTCTGGTTTCCTGGTTTCAGTCCTGGTTTAGTTAGTCCTGGTTCAGTCCTGGTTTAGGTCTGGTTCTGGTTTAGTCCTGGTTAGTCCTGGTTTAGTCCTGGTTCAGTCCTGGTTTAGTCCTGGTTTAGTCCTGGTTTAGTCTGGTTCTGGTTCAGTCCTGGTTAGTCCTGGTTTAGTCCTGGTTTGTCCTGTTCAGTCCTGGTTTAGTCCTGGTTCAGTCCTGGTTTAGTTCTGGTTCTGGTTCAGTCCTGGTTTAGTCCTGGTTCAGTCCTGGTTAGTTAGTCCTGGTTCAGTCCTGGTTTAGTTCTGGTTCAGTCCTGGTTTAGTCCTGGTTTAGTCCTGTTTAGTCCTGGTTCAGTCCTGGTTTAGTTCCTGGTTCAGTCCTGGTTTAGTCCTGGTTTAGTCCTGGTTCAGTCCTGGTTTAGTCCTGGTTTTAGTCCTGGTTTAGTCCTGGTTCAGTCCTGGTTCAGTCCTGTTTCAGTCCTGGTTCAGTCCTGGTTTAGTCCTGGTTTAGTCCTGGTCCTGGTTCAGTCCTGGTTTAGTCCTGGTTTAGTCTGTTTAGTTCTGGTTTAGTCCTGTTTAGTTCTGGTTAGTTCTGGTTTAGTCCTGGTTTAGCCCTGGTTTAGTCCTGGTTCAGTCCTGGTTCAGTCTTTAGTTTAGTCCTGGTTTAGTCCTGGTTTAGTCCTGGTTTAGTCCTGGTTCAGTCCTGGTTTAGTCCTGGTTTAGTCCTGGTTCAGTCCTGGTTTAGTCCTGGTTTAGTCCTGGTTTAGTCCTGGTTTAGTCCTGGTTTAGTCCTGGTTTAGTCCTGGTTTAGTCCACATGCAGCACAAAAGTTCGCCATCGCAGTTTAAGTCACAGAAACAGGAAACGTCTGTTACCAGTTTTTTCCTTTTTTCATTTAAACATAAAACCGAAAACTCATTATCTGTTTTTTCATTTTGGTTTTGGAGACAAATAATGAAGAAAACTGTTGTTTTTTCGTTTTCTTATTTTTGGTTTTACATTGAAAAACAAATGAACGAACGACACTCGGCTTGTGGAACATTCCAGACAAAGCAAAAACCAAAGTGTTTCAGAGACAGAGCAGTGCCCACAGTTTGCCCCCCACCCCCAGGGAAACACTCTGAGGTCTCCGGACGGGCACAGACCGGACCGGACTGGAGCGTTACCGGGGCGGAGTCGGGGGCGGAGTCTGGGGCGGACAGGCGCAGGTACCAGCGGCTGGCTTTGTCCACCACCTCCCTGGACGCCGACACCACGCTGCTGCGGAACATGTCCAGCTTGGGCGTGAGCAGAGAGTCCAGCGCGAAAGAGGAGGACGACGACGAGCTGAGGGGGGACACCAGGCTGCTGCTGCGGGACGGGCTGCTGCTGCTGGGGGCGGGGCTCGGGCTCTGTTGCCGCGGAGACAGCCGGGGGGCGGGGCCGGAGTCGGGCTGAAAGGTGAGCGAGCGAGGGACTCTGAGCGGAGACCTGTGCACAGGAAAAATACAAACTTTATTTCAATAGGCGAGTTTCATTGTTGACCAAAGCGTGCGTTTCATGCTGGGAATTACTTTGGTCGGCGGCAAGAAACACTAATTGAACATGACGGACGGAGTGAGAAAACACGTAAAGGGTATTGATCCCGGTTATTTATCCAGTCTAACAGCAGAAGGACCCAAGACCATTTGACCACAAATTGGTCATAAACATCGACGGACGACAAATCACCCTTTTCAACCCCGACAGAGTCTGGACCAAACCAAACTTCTGGTCAGAATCTCCAACTACCTGGACAAATATTCACTTGGGCGACATCCACAATGACTTGGTGGAAACTCCTGGGCCATTCACAGCAGAAAAGATGAAAACCTCCAAGAGTCTGGATGTGTTGTTGAACTTGTTGAGTCCACGGTTTGTTAGGATCTTCTACGTTTGCTCTGCGGATGTTTGAAAGTCGTTTAATTCACCGTTAGCGGTTCTTTTCACTCAGAATACGAAAAAGACATTTTCCTTCTTCCGTGCTTCTATTTGTGCGTCCGATAATGCAGCAGGAGTTTAACATTAACGGGGATAAATACGAGAGGTTACACACTGTGTTTGACGCTACCGTGTTTCTTGCCTCCGACCAAAATATTTCCCAGCAGCAACGCCGGCTTTTAATAACAATGACGTCAGCTGAAACTCGCCTGTATCAAGTAAGGATGGACATTCGATTAAACTTTCTTAATCGATCGTTGGGAGACCGGCGCACACGCATTAACGGCTAAAGGCTAATAGCGCTAGTTTCTTTAGTGTGTGTAGTGACGGTCGGTCGCGAACGAAGCGGCTCTTAGATCCGGCTCTTTGATGCGAATGACAGGAGTGTTTTCTTTTTCTCTCACTTCTTTCTCTTCACGTCGTGTGCAGACAGCGGCTGAAAATGAAACTTTGAGAAATCTGCGTGTGCATCGGATAAAAACAAAAAATAAAACTAAAATAACTTTTTATTATTTAATAATAACTTTTTAATTAATAACTTTTTATTATTTTACTATACTACGATATATTATTTTTTATTTGGCTGTAGTTTGGCATAAAATAAATAAACCAGGACTAATCTTGGGCTCGAGAGACGGAGAGAAATAGAGACCAAGTCCCGACACTCAGTCCTGGTTTAGTTCTGGTTTAGTCCTGCTTTAGTCCTGGTTTAGACCTGGTTTAGACCTGGTTTAGTCCTGGTTTAGTCCTGGTTTAGACCTGGTTTAGACCTGGTTTAGACCTGGTTTAGACCTGGTTTAGACCTGGTTTAGTCCTGGTTTAGTCCTGGTTTAGACCTGGTTTAGACCTGGTTTAGACCTGGTTTAGACCTGGTTTAGACCTGGTTTAGTAGTCCTGGTTTAGTCCTGGTTTAGACCTGGTTTAGACCTGGTTTAGTCCTGGTTTAGTCCTGGTTTAGGTTTAGTCCTGGTTTAGACCTGGTTTAGACCTGGTTTAGACCTGGTTTAGTCCTGGTTTAGACCTGGTTTAGACCTGGTTTAGTCCTGGTTTAGTCCTGGTTTAGACCTGCTGGTTTAGACCTGGTTTAGACCTGGTTTAGACCTGGTTTAGTCCTGGTTTAGACCTGGTTTAGTCCTGGTTTAGACCTGGTTTAGACCTGGTTTAGTCCTGGTTTAGACCTGGTTTAGACCTGGTTTAGACCTGGTTTAGTCCTGGTTTAGACCTGGTTTAGACCTGGTTTAGTCCTGGTTTTAGTCCTGGTTTAGACCTGGTTTAGACCTGGTTTTAGACCTGGTTTAGACCTGGTTTAGACCTAGTCTGGTTTAGTCCTGGTTTAGACCTGGTTTAGTCCTGGTTTAGACCTGGTTTAGACCTGGTTTAGACCTGGTTTAGCCTGGTTTAGTCCTGGTTTAGTCCTGGTTTAGACCTGGTTTAGTCCTGGTTTACCTGGTTTAGACCTGGTTTAGTCCTGGTTTAGACCTGGTTTAGACCTGGTTTAGACCTGGTTTAGACCTGGTTTAGACCTCCTGGTTAGTCCTGGTTTAGACCTGGTTTAGACCTGGTTTAGTCCTGGTTTAGTCCTGGTTTAGACCTGGTTTAGACCTGGTTTAGACCTGGTTTAGTCCTGGTTTAGACCTGGTTTAGTCCTGGTTTAGACCTGGTTTAGACCTGGTTTAGTCCTGGTTTAGACCTGGTTTAGACCTGGTTTAGACCTGGTTTAGTCCTGGTTTAGACCTGGTTTAGACCTGGTTTAGTCCTGGTTTAGACCTGGTTTAGACCTGGTTTAGACCTGGTTTAGACCTGGTTTAGTGGTTAGACCTCCTGGTTTAGTCCTGGTTTAGACCTGGTTTAGACCTGGTTTAGACCTGGTTTAGACCTGGTTTAGACCTGGTTTAGACCTGGTTTAGACCTGGTTTAGACCTGGTTTAGACCTGGTTTAGACCTGGTTTAGACCTGGTTTAGTCCTGGTTTAGACCTGGTTTAGACCTGGTTTAGACCTGGTTTAGACCTGGTTTAGTCCTGGTTTAGACCTGGTTTAGACAGCAACTGTCTAAGTGACTTATAGTCCGAAAAATACGGTCATTTATTTTTTTTCCCAGTGTAAAACTAAACAGAACTAAACCAGACTAGATCCTGATGACATAATAGTGTCAGGACTGTGCAGTTCCACCCCTGACCTGCGGGGGCTGCCCACGTGCTCCATGTACATCTCAATCTCCCGAGCGAGTCTCCGGTCAGCTCCCGCTTCCTCCTCCTCGTCTTCCTCTCTGCTGGTCCCGGGGCGCTGCTCCTCCGTGGTTTTGGCGAGGAGAGAGAGCGGGTCGCTTCCCGTTTCGATTCCCGTCCGTTTCACCGTGACGCCGCCGTAACTGGCGCTGCGTCCGACCGCCCTGTGACGCGCCGTGGACTCCAGGTCGATGTCCTCCAGGTCAAAGATGGCGTCCGAGTTGTGGCGCTCGTCATCGTCGTCGCTGGAGTCTTCCTCGTTGATCTCGGCGTCGTGAAGAGGATGAGCTGCAAAAACGACAAAAGTATCACAACTTAATCCACAAAATCCAAACACAAGAAGATCACACCTGCCACGTTCACATGAGCTGGAATTCAGAATAAAAATATTGTTATTGGTTATTGATGATCTGCTGTAGCTCCGACACATAAACAGACTGTTTTCTATTGGTCCATACGCGAGTTTCAGATGACGTCATTGTTATTAAAAGCCCACGTTGCTGCTGGGAAATATTTTGGTCGGAGGCAAGAAACACTGTAGCATCAAACACAGTGCGTAACCTCTGTGCATAGAGGTGTGAATGATCGACATTTACACATATAATGAATTACCGCAGCATGGCTTTTTGTTGTGTTGTGGCTTTTTGTTGTGTTGTGGCTTTTTGTTGTGTTGTGGCTTTTTGTTGTGTTGTGGCATTTTGTTGTGTTGTGGCTTTTTGTTGTGTTGTGGCATTTGTATTTGTTGCGGCGTTTGCTTTTGCTGTGACCCTCTCGGCTTCCGTACTAATTCATTTATTCCTGGATCATGTAAACGTTTATTTTTCTTAAAAATAATCCCGGTCGTTCTGGTCACATCTGGAATCCCTCCTCACCTTTTCCGAGTCGGAGGATCCTGGCGTCGGCGGCCATGTTGGACCTGATCTTGTTTGGGTCGGTCTCGGCTCGGTTCAGGTTCAGACCCAGAACTGTGGACCTGCTGTTGGCTCTGTCCCTGCGCACACACCACTCTGCAGCACACTGCAAAACACACAAACGCACAACTATGACACACACACACACAACATCACACACATACACACACACACACACACACACACACACACTCACACACACACACAACTCACAGCACACTGCACAACACACAACGCACAACTATGACACACACACACACAACTATCACACACACACACACACAACATCACACACACACACAACTATCACACACACACACACACACACACACACACACCACTCTGCAGCACACTGCAAAACACACAAACGCACAACTATGACACACACACACACAACTATCACACACACACACAACAATCACACACACACACACAACAATCACACACACACCACTCTGCAGCACACTGCAAAACACACAAACGCACAACTATGACACACACACACACAACTATCACACACACACAACAACAATCACACACACACACAACAATCACACACACACCACTCTGCAGCACACTGCAAAACACACAAACGCACAACTATGACACACACACACACAACTATCACACACACACACACACAACTATCACACACACACACACAACTATCACACACACACAACTCTGCGGCACACTGCACAACACACACACAAACACAACTATCACACACACACACAACTATGACACACACACCACTCTGCAGCACACTGCAAAACACACAAACGCACAACTATGACACACACACACACAACTATGACACACACACACAACTATCACACACACACCACTCTGCAGCACACTGCAAAACACACAAACGCACAACTATGACACACACACACAACTATGACACACACACACAACTATCACACACACACACAACTATCACACACACACACAACTATCACACACACACAACTATCACACACACACCACTCTGCAGCACACTGCAAAACACACAAAGGCACAACTATCACACACACACACAACTATCACACACACACAACTATCACACACACACACAACTATCACACACACACAACTCTGCAGCACACTGCACAACACACACACATACAACACACACACACACACACAACTATCACACACACACACAACTATCACACACACACACACAACTATCACACACACACACACACAACTATCACACACACACACACAACTATCACACACACACACACACAACTATCACACACAAACACAACTATCACACACACAAACACAACTATCACACACACACACAACTATCTCACACACACACACAACAATCACACACACACACACACAACTATCACACACGCACCACTCTGCGGCACACTGCAAAACACACACACAAACACAACTATCACACACACACAAAAAACACACACACACAACTATCACACACACACACACACACAAACAACACACACACACAAACAACAATCACACACACACACGACCAGGTGATGTGTTCAGTGTCCAACCTGCTCCTGCTCCACTTCACAGAAATCATCCAGAGACGTACTAAAGCACAGGCCGGCCATGTGATCTGAAACACACACACACACGTACAGGTGAGGAGTCTGTACACACACACACACACACACACGTACACACACACACACACGCACACACACGTACAGGTGAGGAGTCTGTACACACACACACACACACACGTACACACACGTACAGGTGAGGAGTCTGTACACACACACACACACACACACACGTACAGGTGAGGAGTCTGTACACACACACACACACACGTACAGGTGAGGAGTCTGTACACACACACGCACACACACACACACACACACACGTACAGGTGAGGAGTCTGTACACACACACACACACACGTACAGGTGAGGAGTCTGTACACACACACACACACACACACACACACGTACAGGTGAGGAGTCTGTACACACACACACACACACACGTACAGGTGAGGAGTCTGTACAGTACAGGTGAGGAGTCTGTACACACACACACACACACACACACACGTACAGGTGAGGAGTCTGTACACACACACACACACACACACACGCACACACACGTACAGGTGAGGAGTCTGTACACACACACAAACACACACACACGCACACACACACACACACGCACAGGTGAAGCGTTACCTGCACTGACAGATGTAGTAGCGGTCGGCTGCAGAAAGGAGGCGCTGTTGCGGACGATTCCTCTCTTTATAAAGGCCTCTGTGTGGATTCGCTCCTGACTCTCCGACTCGGACACTGAAAACACATTTACAGCAAATCACAGGCCGACACTTTACCCCAAAACAGTCGACACTTTACCCCAAAACAGTCGACACTTTACCCCAAAACAGTCGACACTTCAGCCCAAAACAGTCGACACTTTACCCCAAAACAGTCGACACTTCAGCCCAAAACAGTCGACACTTTACCCCAAAACAGTCGACACTTCAGCCCAAAACAGTCGACACTTTACCCCAAAACAGTCGACACTTTACCCCAAAACAGCCGACACTTTACCCCAAAACAGTCGACACTTTAGCCCAAAACAGTCGACACTTTACCCCAAAACAGTCGACACTTTACCCCAAAACAGTCGACACTTTACCCCAAAACAGTCGACACTTTACCCCAAAACAGTCGACACTTTAGCCCAAAACAGTCGACACTTTACCCCAAAACAGTCGACACTTCAGCCCAAAACAGTCGACACTTTACCCCAAAACAGTCGACACTTCAGCCCAAAACAGTCGACAATTCAGCCCAAAACAGTCGACACTTTACCCCAAAACAGACGACACTTTACCCCAAAACAGTCGACACTTCAGCTCAAAACAGTCGACACTTCAGCCCATTACAGTCGACACTTTAACCCAAAACAGTCGACACTTTAGCCCAAAACAGTCGACACTTTAACCCAAAACAGTCGACACTTTAGCCCAAAACAGTCGACACTTTAACCCAAAACAGTCGACACTTTAACCCAAAACAGTCGACACTTCAGCTCAAAACAGTCGACACTTCAGCCCAAAACAGTCGACACTTTAAACAGTCCAAAACAGTCGACACTTTAACCCAAAACAGTCGACACTTTAGCCCAAAACAGTCGACACTTTAGCCCAAAACAGTCGACACTTTACCCCAAAACAGTCGACACTTTAACCCAAAACAGTCGACACTTTAGCCCAAAACAGTCGACACTTTAACCCAAAACAGTCGACACTTTAGCCCAAAACAGTCGACCCTTCAGCCCAAAACAGTCGACACTTCAGCCCAAAACAGTCGACACTTTAACCCAAAACAGTTGACACTTTAACCCAAAACAGTCGACACTTCAGCTCAAAACAGTCGACACTTCAGCCCAAAACAGTCGACACTTTAACCCAAAACAGTCGACACTTTAGCCCAAAACAGTCGACACTTTAGCCCAAAACAGTCGACCCTTCAGCCCAAAACAGTCGACACTTTACCCCAAAACAGTCGACACTTTAACCCAAAACAGTCGACACTTTAGCCCAAAACAGTCGACACTTTAACCCAAAACAGTCGACACTTTAGCCCAAAACAGTCGACCCTTCAGCCCAAAACAGTCGACACTTCAGCCCAAAACAGTTGACACTTTAACCCAAAACAGTCGACACTTTAACCCAAAACAGTCGACACTTCAGCTCAAAACAGTCGACACTTCAGCCCAAAACAGTCGACACTTTAACCCAAAACAGTCGACACTTTAACCCAAAACAGTCGACACTTTAGCCCAAAACAGTCGACCCTTCAGCCCAAAACAGTCGACACTTTACCCCAAAACAGTCGACACTTTAGCCCAAAACAGTCGACACTTTACCCAAAAACAGTCGACACTTCAGCCCAAAACAGTCGACACTTTACCCAAAAACAGTCGACACTTCAGCCCAAAACAGTCGACACTTTACCCCAAAACAGTCGACACTTCAGCCCAAAACAGTCGACACTTCAGCCCAAAACAGTCGACACTTTAGCCCAAAACAGCCGACACTTTACCCCAAAACAGTCGACACTTCAGCCCAAAACAGTCGACACTTTAACTCAAAACAGTCGACACTTTACCCCAAAACAGTCGACACTTCAGCCCAAAATAGTCGACACTTTAACCCAAAACAGTCGACACTTTAGCCCAAAACAGTCGACACTTTACCCCAAAACAGTCGACACTTTACCCCAAAACAGTCGACACTTTATCCCAAAACGGTCGAGACTTTACCCCAAAAAACAGTCGACACTTTACCCCAAAACAGTTGATGTTTAACACCCCAAAACAGACAACACTTTACCCCAAAAGAGTCGACACTTTACCCCAAAAACGGTCAAAACTTTACCCCAAAACAAACTTTTATTGATAGAGGATTAAACACTGCCATCTTAGGGTGTTTTCACACCGACAGTATTTGTTGCACCAAACGGTCCATTCGAACCAAAAGTGGTTAGTTCGGTTTGTTTGCGTTGGTGTGAAAGCGTCAATCGGACTCGGACCCGAACCAAATCAAGCGGATCGAGACCGCAAAAAGAGGTGGTCTCGGTTCGCTTGAATCCGCACCAAATGACCAACTTTGGTGCGGTTCCTCTGGTGTGAACGCGAACCCGGGTCCAAACCATAGACACTATGGACAAACAGACTATTCCAAATGCATCATGGGGGGGACACGCGTCTCCTCTGCCTGAAATGACGCTGTACGACTCCAGCGCAGTAACAGATTGTTGTCCAGACGCAGCCGCGATTCATTTTCAAATTATTTTACCAACAATGGCCAATACAGAGAATGTAACACACGAAGATCAGAGCAAGAACCAGTGTGCGAACGTGTGGCTCCAGAGTGAGTCAAAAAGAGAAGCCCCGGTGTTCCCCGTGATCATGTACCAACCAGCATTTCTTATTTTAGGCTTTAATTAACCAAATAATTTCATGGCAATAGGCAATAGCCCATTCAATTGATACACCTTTAAAAAGTCCCTGTTTTTAGCCTAGTGTGAGAAATACAGTCGGACTAGATCCAAACCAGAGTCCTGAACCAGTGGGAGCAGCTCCAGTTCTGTCCGGGCTCAGAGGAGCTGGAGCGGGGAGCCTCGACCTGAGGAAGCCCGTCCCCGGGAAGAACCAAATGCGCGGAGGACGGACGCTCAGAACAACATATAACAAACCAAACTGGACTCACGCTGGACTCACGCTTCTGTCCGGATGCTGTACCACCTTGGAACCGGTTCTTGAGCGTGGAGAACCGGAGCAGCCTGCACAGACCTGTAGTCCACAGCGCATTCTCACTTTCCCCGCACAGAACCAGCGCGCAGACGACTGAACGTTCCCGCTTAGACCCAGTCCACTGCGCACTGGTCTTTCTCGCCACCGTTTGGAACCAGCACATGGAGGATGGAGCCTCCGGACCATCTGACCAACGCTTGTAGGACGACAGAAGACCAAGGACCAGACCCCAGCCCCGTCCTGAGGAGCTGCGCTACTGTGAGCGCTGTTGGCTGCTGCTGTTACCTGAGGACTGATGTGCGGTGAGTTTGTACAAAGTTCTACATGTTGCTGTTTTATGAGTTCATGGTGATAATTTGAGATGAGGACGGCCCGCGGTATTAACAGGAACATCGGTGTTGATAACTGGAGTATTGCTGTTTTCCCGGGAAACAGAGACACGTGAATCGAACCAATTTTGGTTCGTTTGCCGGTGTGAAAGTGGACCACACTGGAGTGTATTTGCTACATAATAACAATTTTATTGCCTGGTGCGACCAAATAATCGAACTAGCGGTGTGAAAACGACCTTATATATTCAAACCAAGTCTAAACCAGGACTAAACCAGGTCTAAACTGGGACCAAATCATAACAACACCAAGACTAAACCGGAACTACATCAGGACCGTAACGAAGATTAAAAAAGAAAAGAACTAAACAAGGACAAAATCAAAACTAAACCAGTATAGTTTCAGAGTATACCAGGACTAAAACAGGATTAAACCAGTACCATACAAGGACTAAACCAGTTCTAAACCCGGACTAAACCTGGACTAAACCTGGACTTTATAAATTGAACTGACGTGAGCTGCAGTCGGCTCCTCTTCGGACCTCTTCTTTGGACAGAGAGTTGTAGCCCAGGTCCGACTGGTCTCCTGAAAACACACAGAGACTTGATTAAAACAGATGTAACGAGGGAATAATAAACTGTTATAAAAAGCAAACGTGGACTTTTTTTTTTGATTCTGTTGTTTTCTCTTCAGACAAAAACACTCCTGGAGTTTTTCGACTTTTAATGAGCACAAAGAGACTGATTTAAATGATACGATCTGTTTATTAAACGAGGACAGAGATGGAGAGATTTACCTGAGTGAGAATGAAGCTCAGAGGAACAGGGGAAATCCAGAGGCACTGATGAGAAAGAGGAAAGGAAACAAGGAGGCAGGAGACGAGGAGGGAGGAGACAAGGAGACACAGAGGGAAGAGACAAGGAGGGAGGAGATGAGGCAACGCAGCGAGAGGAGGTAAGGAGGGAGGAGATGAGGAGACAAGGAGGGAGGAGATGAAAAGAGAGGCGATGAGGAGAGGAGGAGGGAGGAGACAAGGAGAGGAGGAGACGAGGAGGGAGGAGACAAGGAGACACAGGGAAGAGACAAGGAAACGAGAAGGGAGGAGAGGAGAAGGGAGGAGACCAGGAGGGAAGAGACAAGGAAAAGAAAAGCGAGGAGGGAGGAGACGAGGAAGGAGGAGAGGAAGAGGGAAGAGAGGAGGAGGGAGGAGAGGACGAGAGAGTAGACCAGGAGGGTGGAGACAAGGAAGGAGGAGACGAGGAGGAAGGAGATGAGGAAATGAGGAGAGGAGGAGACAAGGAAGGAAGAGACGAAAAGAGAGGCGATGAGGAGAGGAGGAAGGGGAGAAAGGAGAGTGGCGACGAGGATGGAGGAGACAAGGAGGGAGGAGACAAGGAAACGAGAAGGGAGGAGAGGAAGAGGGAGAACACAAGGAGAGAGGAGACGAGAAGAGAGAGGGAGACGAGGAGGAAGGAGACGCGGCAAGGAGTAGGGAAGAGACGAAATGAGGGGAGACAAGGAGGGAGGAGATGAGGAAACGAGGAGAGGAGGAGGGAGGAGGAGGAGATGAAGGAGGAGGAGATGAGGGAGGAGAGGAAGAGGGAGGAGACAAGGACACAAGAAGAAGGAAAGGAGACAAGGCAGATGTGATGTGAGTTAAACACAGAGGAGCTGGTGAAGGTTTGACATGAGACGGTGAATCTGTCCATTCAGCCTCTCCACTTTGACCTTTGACCTTTAGGTCTGGACCCGGTCTGGACCCGGTCTGGACCCGGTCTGGTACCTGTGCTGGACTTGTCGTCTCCGGGCTCGTCTCTGGTCTCAGCTGAACTGTCCAAACTGCTGTGGCTCTCGGTGTCACTGCTGCCGTCTGAAAACAACAAACGAAAACTTCAACTGCAATACTAGTACTGCAGTACTTTTACTGTAGTACTACACCAGCACAAATACTATACTAGTACTATAATCTGGACACAATAGCAGTAGTAGTAGCAGTAACAGTAGTAGTAGTGGTAGTATTAGTAGTATTTTTTATTAGCAGTAATGGTAGTAGTAATAGTAGTAGTAGTAGTAGTACCTGTAGTACCCGTAGTAATAGTAGTAGTACCTGTAGTAGTAGCAGTAGTAGTAGTAGAAGTAGTAGTAGTAGCAGTAGTAGTAATAGTAGTAGTACTTGTAGTAGTAGTAGTAGTAGTAGTAATAATAGTAGTAATAGTAGTAGTAGTACCTGTAGTACCTGTAGTAGTAATAGTAGTATTAGTAGTAGTAGTACTTGTAGTACCTGTAGTAATAGTAGCAGTACCTGTAGTACCTGTAGTAGTAGTAATAGTAGTAGTACTTGTAGTATTACCTAAGATGGGGCTGAGGTTGTGAGTTTTTTCCTTCACGGCTCGTTTAAACTGAGCCACTCCCAGAAGAACGTTCCGGAGCTTCATCCACAGGAAGTATCCGCCCCGAGAAGAGGAGGGCCACGTGCTCTCCAGCACCACCTACAGGACAGGAGGAGGACAACGCATAAATACTACTGTAACTACTGTAACTACTGTTACTACTGTAACTACTGTTACTACTGTAACTACTGCAACTACTGCTACTACTGCAACTACTGTTACTACTGTTACTACTGTAACTACTGCTACTACTGCAACTACTGTTACTACTGTAACTACTGTTACTACTGTTACTACTGCTACTACTGCAACTACTGTTACTACTGTTACTACTGCAACTACTGTTACTACTGTAACTATTGTTACTACTGTTACTACTGCTACTACTGCAACTACTGTTACTACTAACTGTTACTACTGCAACTACTGTTACTACTGCTACTACTGCAACTACTGTTACTACTGCTACTACTGCAACTACTGTTACTACTGTTACTACTGCAACTACTGTTACTACTACTACTGTACTACTGCAACTACTGTACTACTGTACTACTACTGCTACTACTGTTACTACTGTACTACTACTGTACTACTACTGCTAACTACTAGTTACTACTGTACTATACTACTGTTACTACTGTACTACTACTACTGTTACTACTGTTACTGCTACTGTTAACTACTGTAACTACTGTTACTACTGTTACTACTGCAACTACTGTTACTACTGTAACTACTGTTACTACTGTGTTACTACTGCTACTACTGCTACTACTACTACTGCTACTACTACTGCTACTACTACTGTACTACTGCTAACTACTGTACTACTACTGTTACTACTACTGTTACTAACTACTGTTACTACTACTGTACTACTAACTACTGTAACTACTACTACTGTACTACTACTACTGTAACTACTGTACTACTGTTACTGTAACTGTAACTACTACTGTACTGCAACTACTGTTACTACTACTGTTACTACTACTACTGTAACTACTGTACTACTACTACTGCAACTACTGTGTTACTACTGTAACTACTGTTACTACTGTTACTACTGTTACTACTGTAACTACTGCAACTACTGTTACTACTGTAACTACTGCAACTACTGTAACTACTGTAACTACTGTTACTACTGTTACTGTACTACTGTAACTACTGCAACTACTGTTACTGTAACTACTGTTACTACTGCTACTACTGCAACTACTGTTACTACTGTTACTACTGCTAACTACTACTGTTACTAACTGTAAACTACTGTTACTACTGTTACTACTGTTACTACTGTACTGCAACTACTGCAACTACTGTACTACTGTAACTACTGTACTGTAACTACTGTAACTACTGTACTACTGTTACTACTGTACTGTACTACTGTTACTACTGTTACTACTGTTACTACTGTTACTACTGTTACTACTGTAACTACTGTAACTACTGTAACTACTGTACTACTGTTACTACTGTACTACTACTACTGTACTACTACTACTGTTACTACTGTTACTACTGTAACTACTGTACTGTACTACTAACTACTGTTACTACTACGTACTACTACTGTAACTACTACTACTAACTACTGTACTACTGTTACTACTGTACTGTACTACTGTACTACTGCACTACTGTTACTACTGTACTAACTGTACTACTGTACTACTGCTACTGCAACTACTGTTACTACTGTACTACTGTATACTGTAACTATGTTACTACTGTACTACTGCAAACTACTGTTACTACTGTTACTACTGTACTACTGTACTACTGTTACTACTGTACTACTCTACTGTTACTACTGTACTACTGTACTACTGTTACTACTGTACTACTCTGTTACTACTGTACTACTACTGTAACTACTGTATACTGTACTAACTACTGCAACTACTGCTACTGTACTACTACTACTGCAACTACTACTACTGCTAACTACTGCAACTACTGTACTACTGTTACTACTTGTAACTACTGTAACTACTGCAACTACTGTAACTACTGTTACTACTGCAACTACTGTACTACTGTTACTACTGTAACTACTGTAACTACTGTAACTACTGTAACTACTGTAACTACTGTAACTACTGTAACTACTACTGTAACTACTGTAACTACTGTAACTACTGTTACTACTGTAACTACTGCAACTACTGTAACTACTGTTACTACTGTTACTACTGCTACTACTGTAACTACTGTAACTACTGTAACTACTGTTACTACTGTTACTGTAACTACTGCAACTACTGTTACTACTGTAACTACTACTGTACTACTGTACTACTAACTGTAACTACTAGTAACTACTGTTACTACTGTAACTACTGTTACTACTACTACTGTAACTACTGTAACTACTGTAACTACTACTGTAACTACTGTAACTACTGTACTACTGTACTACTGCAACTACTGTAACTACTGTACTTACTTTACTACTGTAACTACTGTAACTACTGTAACTACTGTTACTACTACTGTAACTACTGTTACTACTGTAACTACTGTAACTACTGTTACTACTGTAACTACTGTAACTACTGTTACTACTGTTACTACTGTAACTACTGTAACTACTGTAACTACTGTACTGCAACTACTGTTACTACTGTAACTACTGCAACTACTGCAACTACTGTAACTACTGTTACTACTGTAACTACTGTAACTACTGTAACTACTGTAACTACTGTAACTACTGTAACTACTGTACTACTGTAACTACTGTACTACTGTAACTACTGTAACTACTGTAACTACTAGTACTACTGTAACTACTGTAACTACTACTACTGTTATTACTGCTACTCCTATGGTGTCGTAAAAGTATCTTGTTGTAGTAGTATTTGCAGTATCAGTGTAGTAAAAGTACCTTGTTGTAGTAGTATTTGCAGTATTTGTTGTAGTAGTATTTGCAGTATCAGTGTAGTAAAAGTACCTTGTTGTAGCAGTATTTGCAGTATCAGTGTAGTAAAAGTACCTTGTTGTAGTAGTATTTGCAGTATCAGTGTAGTAAAAGTACCTTGTTGTAGTAGTATTTGCAGTATCAGTGTAGTAAAAGTACCTTGTTGTAGTAGTATTTGCAGTATCAGTGTAGTAAAAGTACCTTGTTGTAGCAGTATTTGCAGTATCAGTGTAGTAAAAGTACCTTGTTGTAGTAGTATTTGCAGTATCAGTGTAGTAAAAGTACCTTGTTGTAGTAGTATTTGCAGTATCAGTGTAGTAAAAGTACCTTGTTGTAGTAGTATTTGCAGTATCAGTGTAGTAAAAGTACCTTGTTGTAGTAGTATTTGCAGTATCAGTGTAGTAAAAGTACCTTGTTGTAGTACCCGTAGGTGATGGCGTTGGGCAGGACTCCGGCTTTCTTCATCTCAAACAAAACTCTGACGGCGAGAACAGGCTGACCGTACTGACCACAGAGCTGCATCAAGACCCGGTAACACACCTGGAGACAAAGACCAGGACTAAACCAGGACTAAAACAGAACTGAACCAGGACTGAACCAGGTTTGAACCAGGACTAAACCAGGTCTAAAACAGGACTAAACCAGGTCTAAAATCGGACTAGATCAGGACTAAACCAGGACTAAACCAGGACTAAACCAGGTCTGAACCAGGACTAAACCAAGACTAAACCAGGATTAAAATTAAACCAGGACTAAACCAAGACTAAACCAAGACTAAACAAGGACTAAACCAGGACTAAACCAAGACTAAACCAGGACTAAACCAGGATTTAAAGCAGGATTTAAAGCAGGACTAAATCAGGTCTAAAGCAGGACTAAATGAGGACTAGAGGAGGACTAGGGGAGGACTTGCCTCGTCAGGGGGCTGCAGGTTCTTGTTGGTCATGGTCCGGAGCAGGTCGTAGGCCGTTCGGAGCGCTCGGACTTTAGAGTGGCAGGTTTTGGTGTAGGCGGGTAAACAGGTGAACCACAGACCGTAACACAGACGCACCAGACACTTGGACCAGAGTTCAGGGACCACCGAGTCCTGCTGCGCCAGTCTCTGACACGACCTGAGCTCCTGCAGCACACCACACTGTCAGGGACCAGGACTGAACCAGGACTGGACCAGGACTAAACCAGGACTAAAACAGGAATAAACCAGGACTGAAATGGGACTGAAATGGGACTGAACCAGGACTGAAATGGGACTGAACCAGGACTAAACCAGGACTTAAGTAGGACTAAACCAGGACTAAACCAGGACTAAATCGGGGCTGAACCGGGGCTGAACCCGGGACTGAACTGGGACTAAACCAGGACTAAATCGGGGCTGAACCGGGACTGAAACAGGACTGAACCGGGACTAAACCAGGACTGAACCAGGACTAAACCAGGACTAAACCAGGACTAAACCAGGATTTAAAGCAGGATTTAAAGCGGGACTAAACCAGGACTGAACCAGGACTAAACCAGGATTTAAAGCAGGATTTAAAGCAGGATTTAAACCAGGACTAAACCAGGACTAAACCAGGACTAAACCAGGACTAAACCAGGATTTAAAGCAGGATTTAAAGCGGGACTAAACCAGGACTGAACCAGGACTAAACCAGGATTTAAAGCAGGATTTAAAGCGGGACTAAATCAGGTCTAAAGCAGGACTAAATGAGGACTAAATGAGGATTGAACCAGGACTTAAGTAGGGCTAAACCAGGACTAAACAAGAACAGAATAAGAACTGAACCAGGTCTTAAACAAGTCTATGGTAAATTAGGACTAAACCAGGACTAAACCAGGACTAAACCAGGACTAAACCTTCACCTGTTTGGTGCGCCGGAACAGAGAGGCGGGGCTTGAGGGGCAGCTCTGGCGTGTGATTGGTCGAGAGCGAGGGGCGGCTCCATCCACAGAATCAAACAGTTCTGGGGTCAGAACGGGAAAACCGTCATATCTGAGGAAAAGAGACGAACGTTTAGACTCCAGGCTCGAGAAAACCAGGAACACGACCGAACGCTCCGACGCACAGACGTCTGGTAGTTTAAGTTTAAGTTTAGTTTGAGTTTAGTTTGAGTTTAATTTAGTTTAAGTTTTAATTTAGTTTTAGTTTAGTTTAGTTTAAGTTTAAGTTTAGTTTAGTTTAGTTTAGTTTAGTTTTAAGTTTAGTTTTAGTTTAGTTTAAGTTTAGTTTAGTGTATTTTATTTTAAGTTTAGTTTTAGTTTATTTTTAGTTTAGTTTTAGTTTAGTTTTAGTTTTAGTTTAGTTTAGTTTAGTTTTAGTTTAAGTTTAGTTTAAGTTTATATGTGAATATAAATTCTCTTCTATGTGAAGAGAATATGTGTCCATTCACATAAACGTGTGTCTGTGTGTTTGACCTGCACACGTATAATCTCTGAAAAATTTAACATGAACCAACAACACGACAGAAACACAGAACAGACTCACCATCAGCAGAACACCCCTCTGTCACACAGAGAGAACACCCCTCTGACACAGAGAGAACACCCCTCTGTCACAGAGAGAACACCCCTCTGTCACACAGAGAACACCTCTGTCACAGAGAAACACCCTCTGTCACACAGAGAAACACCCCTCTGACACAGAGAGAACACCCCTCTGTCACAGAGAGAACACCCCTCTGTCACACAGAGAACACCCCTCTGTCACACAGAGAGAACACCCCTCTGTCACAGAGAGAACACCCTCTGTCACAGAGAGAACACCCCTCTGTCACACAGAGAGAACACCCCTCTGTCACACAGAGAACACCCCTCTGTCACAGAGAGAGAACACCCCTCTGTCAGCACAGAGAGAACACCCCTCTGTCACACAGAGAGAACACCCTCTGACACAGAGAGAACACCCCTCTGTCACACAGAGAGAACACCCCTCTGTCACAGAGAGAACACCCTCTGTCACAGAGAGAACACCCCTCTGTCACACAGAGAGAACACCCCTCTGTCACACACTCTGTCACACAGAGAGAACACCCCTCTGTCACAGAGAGAACACCCCTCTGTCACAGAGAAGAACACCCCTCTGTCACACAGAGAGAACACCCCTCTGTCACACAGAGAACACCCCTCTGTCACACAGAGAGAACACCCCTCTGTCACACACCCTCTCTGTCACAGAGAACACGAACACCCCTCTGTCACACAGAGAGAAACCCCTCTGTCACAGAGAGAACACCCCTCTGTCACAGAGAGAACACCCTCTGTCACACAGAGAACACCCCTCTGTCACACAGAGAACACCCCTCTGTCACAGAGAGAGAACACCCTCTGTCACAGAGAGAACCCTCTGTCACAGAGAGAACACCCCTCTGACACACAGAGAGAACACCCTCTGTCACAGAGAGAACACCCCTCTGTCACACAGAGAGAGAACACCCCTCTGTCACAGAGAGAACACCCCTCTGTCACACAGAGAGAACACCCCTCTGTCACAGAGAGAACACCCCTCTGACACAGAGAGAACACCCCTCTGACACCTCTGTCACACAGAGAGAAACACCCCTCTGTCACACAAGAGAGACACAGAGAGAACCCCTCTGACTGTCACAGAGAGAACACCCTCTGACACAGAGAGAACACCCTCTGTCACAGAGAGAACACCCCTCTGACACAGAGAGAACACCCCTCTGTCACACAGAGAGAACACCCTCTGTCACAGAGAGAACACCCTCTGACAGAAGAGAACACCCCTCTGACACAGAGAACACCCCTCTGTCACAGAGAGAACACCCCTCTGTCACACAGAGAACACCCCTCTGTCACACAGAGAGAACCCCTCTGACACAGAGAGAACCCCTCTGTCACAGAGAGAACACCCCTCTGTCACACAGAGAGAACACCCTCTGTCACAGAGAGAACACCCTCTGTCACACAGAGAGAACACCCCTCTGTCACAGAGAGAACACCCCTCTGTCACAGAGAGAAACACCCCTCTGTCACAGAGAGAACACCCCCTCTGTCACAGAGAGAACACCCTCTGTCACAGTCACAGAGAGAACACCCCTCTGTCACCAGAGAGAACACCCCTCTGTCACAGAGAGAACACCCTCTGACACAGAGAGAACACCCCTCTGTCACAGAGAGAACACCCCTCTGTCACAGAGAGAACACCCCTCTGTCACAGAGAGAAACACCCTCTGTCACACAGAGAGAACACCCCTCTGTCACAGAGAGAACACCCCTCTGTCACAGAGAGAACACCCCTCTGACACAGAGAGAACACCCCTCTGTCACAGAGAGAACACCCCTCTGTCACAGAGAGAACACCCCTCTGTCACAGAGAGAACACCCCTCTGTCACAGAGAGAACACCCCTCTGACACAGAGAGAACACCCCTCTGACACACAGAGAGAACACCCCTCTGACACAGAGAGAACACCCCTCTGTCACACAGAGAACAGAGAGAACACCCCTCTGTCACAGAGAGAACAGAGACACCCCTCTGTCACACAGAGAGAACACCCCTCTGACACACAGAGAGAACACCCCTCTGACACAGAGAGAACACCCCTCTGTCACAGAGAGAACACCCCTCTGTCACACAGAGAGAACACCCCTCTGTCACAGAGAGAAACCCCTCTGTCACAGAGAGAACACCCCTCTGTCACAGAGAGACACACCCCCTCTGTCACAGAGAGAACACCCCTCTGTCACAGAGAGAACACCCTCTGTCACACAGAGAGAACACCCCTCTGTCACACAGAGAGAACACCCCTCTGTCACAGAGAGAACACCCCGACACACCCTCTGTCACACAGAGAACACCCCTCTGTCACAGAGAGAACACCCCTCTGACACAGAGAGAACACCCCTCTGTCACACAGAGAGAACACCCCTCTGTCACCCCTCTGTCACAGAGAGAACACCCTTCTGTCACAGAGAGAACACCCCTCTGTCACAGAGAGAGAACACCCTCTGACACAGAGAGAACACCCTCTCTGTCACAGAGAGAACACCTCTGTCACAGAGAGAACACCCCTCTGTCACAGAGAGAGACACCCCTCTGTCACAGAGAGAACACTCATATTCCACCGAGTCGTGTCCTTTAGTCCAACAGAAACTGAACCACATCAGACACAAGGAAACAACTGTTTTTTGAGCTTAGTTTATGTAAATGAGTCATGTGGTTTTAAGTTTAATTTCTGTAAAATGTAAACAAATGTGCTCAAAGCTGAGTGGACAGAGGAGGACTGCGGACACAGAAACGACGTGTCTGGACGCAGATCGTTTCTTATTTTTGGTTTTATTTTGAAAAGCGAACGAACGAATGACCCACAGACTCTCGTCCTCCTCCTCACCAGAGGGTCACCGGGTCCAGTACCTGTAGGGCAGGGGGGGCTCCTCGTCGCTCGGGCCCAGGCCGGGGCTCAGCTCAGGCGGGTAGATGAAGACCGTGTGTTCACTGCTCTGGACCTCCTCTTCAATCAACCGACAATCCTCTGCCCCCTCCAGCTGCAACAGACCAGGACTAGACCAGGACTAGACCAGGACTAGACCAGGACTAAACCAGGACTAGACCAGGACTAGACCAGGACTAGACCAGGTCTAAACCAGGACTACACCAGGACTACACCAGGACTACACCAGGACTAAACCAGGACTAAACCAGGACTAGACCAGGACTAGACCAGGACTACACCAGGACTACACCAGGACTAGACCAGGACCGAACCAGGACTAAACCAGGACTAAACCAGGACTCAACCAGGACTCAACCAGGACTAAACCAGGACCGAACCAGGACCGAACCAGGACTAAACCAGGACTAAACCAGGACTACACCAGGACTAGACCAGGACTACACCAGGACTACACCAGGACCGAACCAGGACCGAACCAGGACTAAACCAGGACTCAACCAGGAATAAACCAGGACCAAACCAGGACCGAACCAGGACTAAACCAGGACTAAACCAGGACTCAACCAGGACTCAACCAGGACCGAACCAGGACTGAACCAGGACTGAACCAGGACTGAACCAGGACCAGACCAGGACTAGACCAGGACTAGACCAGGACTGAACCAGGACTGAACCAGGACCAAACCAGGACTAGACTAGGACTGGACCAGGACTGGACCAGGACTAAACCAGGACCAAACCAGGACTAGACTAGGACTGGACCAGGACTAAACCAGGACTAGACCAGGACTAGACCAGGACTGGACCAGGACTGGACCAGAACCGAACCAGGACCAAACCAGGACTAAACCAGGACTCAACCAGGACTAAACCAGGACCAAACCAGGACCAGACCAGGACCGGACCAGGACTGGACCAGGACTAAACCAGGACTAAACCAGGACTGGACCAGGACTGAACCAGGACTCAACCAGGACTAAACCAGAACTAGACTAGGACTAAACCAGGTCTAAACCAGGTCTACATTTACTCCAGGAATAAACCAGAATTAAAACAAGATTAACCAGGACTAGGTCAGGACTAAACCAGATCTAAACCTGGTCTAAACCTGGTCTTTGTACCTTCTCCACGCAGTCGTCGAAAAAGGCGAGTCCTGCGTCTTTGTCACTGACGAAGGAACACTCCTCGATGAAACGACTGAACATCTGAGTCCGAGTGAGAAGAGAGAAGAACTTCTGATGAGAACGCTCCCGACTGCGAAGGAAACCTGAACACAAGACGAAAAGACGAAAGAAACGTGAGGAAACCTGAACACAAGACGAAAAGACGAAAGAAACGTGAGGAAACCTGAACACAAGACGAAAAGAAGAAAAGAAGAGACACATGAGGAAACCTGAACACAAGACGAAAAGACGAAAGGAAGAAACACGTGAGGAAACCTGAACACAAGACGAAAAGACGAAAAGAAGAAACACGTGAGGAAACCTGAACACAAGACGAAAAGACGAAAAGAAGAAACACGTGAGGAAACCTGAACACAAGACGAAAAGAAAAAAGACACGTGAGGAAACCTGAACACAAGACGAAAAGACAAAAGAAACGTGAGGAAACCTGAACACAAGACGAAAAGAAGAAACACGTGAGGAAACCTGAACACAAGAAGAAAAGACGAAAGGAAGAAACACGTGAGGAAACCTGTACACAAGACGAAAAGACGAAAGAAACGTGAGGAAACCTGAACACAAAAAATCAGAGCTGTGCCAAAAGTGAAAAAATCGATAAATCGCAATTTAAACTTTGATCAGTCTCGATGATAAGACAAGAACATTTTAATCAGTGGGACAATGGGACAGAGAGGGACACAGGGACAGAGTGGGAGAGTTGGACAGAGGGACACAGGGACAGTTGGACAGTTGGACAGAGTTGGACAGTTGGACAGAGTGGGACAGAGTGGGACAGAGTGGGACACAGTGGAACAGAGTTTGGACACAGCGGGACACAGTGGGACAGAGTTGGACACAGTGGAACAGAGTTGGACAGATTTGGACAGAGTGGGACACAGTGGGACACAGTGGAACAGAGTTGGACACAGTGGGACACAGTGGAACAGAGTTGGACAGAGTTGGACAGAGTGGGACAGAGTGGGACAGAGTGGGACAGAGTTGGACAGAGTGGGACACAGTGGAACAGAGTTGGACAGAGTTGGACAGAGTGGGACAGAGTGGGACACAGTGGAACAGAGTTGGACAGAGTTGGACAGAGTGGGACACAGTGGAACAGAGTTGGACACAGTGGGACAGAGTGGGACACAGTGGAACAGAGATGGACACAGTGGGACACAGTGGAACAGAGTTGGACAGAGTTGGACAGAGTGGGACAGAGTGGGACAGAGTGGGACAGAGTTGGACAGAGTGGGACACAGTGGAACAGAGTTGGACAGAGTGGGACAGAGTGGGACAGAGTGGGACACAGTGGAACAGAGTGGACAGAGTTGGACAGAGTGGGACACAGTGGAACAGAGTTGGACACAGCGGGACACAGTGGGACAGAGTTGGACAGAGTGGGACACAGTGGGACACAGGGACAGTTGGACAGAGTTGGACAGTTGGACAGAGTGGGACAGTTGGACACAGCGGGACACAGTGGGACAGAGTTGGACAGAGTGGGACACAGTGGAACAGAGTTGGACACAGCGGGACACAGTGGGACAGAGTTGGACAGAGTGGGACACAGTGGGACACAGTGGGACACAGTGGAACAGAGTTGGACAGAGTTGGACAGAGTTGGACAGAGTGGGACACAGTGGGACACAGTGGAACAGAGTTGGACACAGTGGAACAGAGTTGGACAGAGTTGGACACAGTGGGACACAGTGGGACACAGTGGGACACAGGGACAGTTGGACAGAGTTGGACAGTTGGACAGAGTGGGACAGTTGGACACAGCGGGACACAGTGGGACAGAGTTGGACAGAGTGGGACACAGTGGGACACAGTGGGACAGTGGGACACAGTGGACAGAGTGGGACAGTTGGACACAGCGGGACACAGTGGGACAGAGTTGGACAGAGTGGGACACAGTGGAACAGAGTTGGACACAGCGGGACACAGTGGGACAGAGTTGGACAGAGTGGGACACAGTGGGACACAGTGGGACACAGTGGGACACAGTGGAACACAGTTGGACAGAGTTGGACAGAGTTGGACAGAGTGGGACAGAGTGGGACAGAGTTGGACAGAGTGGGACACAGTGGAACAGAGTTGGACAGAGTTGGACAGAGTGGGACACAGTGGGACACAGTGGAACAGAGTTGGACACAGTGGAACAGAGTTGGACAGAGTTGGACAGAGTGGGACACAGTGGGACACAGTGGGACAGTTGGACAGAGTTGGACAGTTGGACAGAGTGGGACAGTTGGACACAGCGGGACACAGTGGGACAGAGTTGGACACAGCGGGACACAGTGGGACAGAGTTGGACAGAGTGGGACACAGTGGACACAGTGGAACAGAGTTGGACAGAGTTGGACAGAGTGGGACACAGTGGGACACAGGGACAGTTGGACAGAGTTGGACAGTTGGACAGAGTGGGACAGTTGGACACAGCGGGACACAGTGGGACAGAGTTGGACAGAGTGGGACACAGTGGGACACACAGGGACAGTTGGACAGAGTGGGACAGTTGGACACAGCGGGACACAGTGGGACAGAGTTGGACAGAGTGGGACACAGTGGGACACAGTGGAACAGAGATGGACACAGTGGAACAGAGATGGACAGAGTTGGACAGAGTTGGACAGAGTTGGACAGATTTGGACAGAGTGGGACAGAGTGGGACAGAGTTGGACAGAGTGGGACACAGTGGAACAGTGTTGGACACAGTGGAACAGAGTTGGACAGAGTTGGACAGAGTTGGACAGAGTGGGACACAGTGGGACACACAGTGGAACAGAGTTGGACACAGTGGACACAGTGGGACAGAGTTGGACACAGTGGGACACAGTGGAACAGAGTGGGACAGAGTTGGACAGAGTGGGACAGTTGGACAGAGTGGGACAGTTGGACAGAGTTGGACAGAGTGGGACAGTTGGACAGAGTGGGACAGAGTGGGACAGAGTGGGACAGTTGGACAGAGTGGGACAGAGTGGGACAGAGTGGGACAGTTGGACAGAGTTGGACAGAGTGGGACAGTTGGACAGAGTTGGACAGAGTGGGACAGTTGGACACAGTTGGACAGAGTGGGACAGTGGGACAGAGTGGGACAGTTGGACACAGAGTGGGACAGTTTGGACAGAGTTGGGACAGAGTTGGACAGAGTTGGACAGAGTTGGACAGAGTGGGACAGTTGGACACAGTTGGACAGAGTGGACAGAGTTTGGACAGAGTGGACAGTGGACAGAGTGGGACAGAGTGGGACAGAGTGGGACAGAGTGGGACAGAGTTGGACAGAGTGGACAGTTGGACAGAGTGGGACAGTTGGACAGAGTTGGACAGAGTTGGACAGAGTGGGACAGTTGGACAGAGTGGGACAGAGTTGGACAGAGTTGGACAGAGTGGGACAGTTGGACAGAGTGGGACAGTGGACAGAGTGGACAGAGTGGGACAGTTGGACAGAGTGGGACAGTTGGACAGAGTGGACAGAGTTGGACAGAGTTGGACAGAGTGGGACAGAGTGGGACAGAGTTGGACAGAGTGGGACAGTTGGACACAGTTGGACACAGTGGGACAGTTGGACAGAGTGGGACAGTTGGACACAGTTGGACACAGTGGGACAGAGTGGGACAGTTGGACAGAGTGGGACAGTTGGACAGAGTTGGACAGAGTGGGACAGTTGGACAGAGTGGGACAGTTGGACAGAGTTGGACAGAGTGGGACAGTTGGACAGAGTGGGACAGAGTTGGACACAGTTGGACAGAGTGGGACAGTTGGACAGAGTGGGACAGTTGGACAGAGTGGGACAGTTGGACACAGTTGGACAGAGTGGGACAGTTGGACAGAGTGGGACAGTTGGACAGAGTGGGACAGTTGGACAGAGTTGGACAGAGTGGGACAGTTGGACACAGCGGGACACAGTTGGTACCGTGCAGGTCGAACAGCGAGCTGGCGTCCGTGGCCTTCTCGGACGGCGCCTGGGTGATGGGACGCAGGAACGAGCGGTATCCTTTCAAAATGGCCGCCATGAAGGACAGAAACGCTTCCTGTACGTCCAACTCCAGAGACGCCCGACTCCGCCCCCCGCTCACCTCCCACGAGTCCGACAGGGTCAACTCCAGGAGCCCGTCGCCCGGCAGGGGGTCACCTGCACCACCACAACACAAACACAAACAAACACTGTTTCTGACCAGGACTGGACCAGGACCAAGACTGGACCAGGACTAAGTACTACTACTACAAGTACTAAACTACTACTACTACTACTACTGTTACTATTACTACAACTACTACTACTGTTACTATTACTACAACTACTACTACTACTACTACTACTACTACTACTGTTACTAACTACTACTACTACTACTACTACTACTACAACTACTACTACTACTGTTACTACTACAACTACTACTACTAGTTACTACTACAACTACTACTACTACTACTACTACTACTACTACTACTACTACTGTTACTACTACTACTACTACTGTTAATACAACAACAACTACTACTACTACTACTACTACTACTACTACTACTACTACTACTACTGTTACTACTACTACTACTACTACTACTACTGTTACTACTACTACTACTACTACTACTACTACTACTACTGTTACTACTACTACTACTACTACTACTGTTACTACTACTACTACTACTACTACTACTACTGTTACTACTACTACTACTACTACTACTACAACTACTACTACTACTACTGTTACTACTACAACTACTACTACTACTACTGTTACTACTACAACTACTACTACTACTACTACAACTACTACTACTGTTACTACTACAACTACTACTACTGTTACTACTACTACTACTACTGTTACTACTACTACTACTACTACTGTTACTACTACAACTACTACTACTACTACTACTACTACTACGTTACTACTACTACTACTACTACTACTACTACTGTTACTACTACTACTACTACTACTACTACTGTTACTACTACTACTACTACTACTACTACTACTACTACTACTACTACTACTGTTACTACTACTACTACTACTACAACTACTACTACTACTACTACTACTACTACTACTACTACTACTACTACTACTACTAGACTCTGTTAGACACTGAGCTACGCAGTTACTACAGACACACAGACACACAGACACAGACACACACACAGACACACTTACACACAGACGCAGACACACAGACACAGACACACAGACACACACACAGACACTGACGCAGACACTGACGCAGACACAGACACACACAGAGACACACACACAGACACAGACACACACACAGACACTGACGCAGACACACAGACGCAGAGACAGACACACACACAGACACAGACACACAGACGCAGACACAGACACACAGACACACACACACACACACAGACACTGACGCAGACACTGACGCAGACACAGACACACACACAGACGCACACACAGACACAGACACACAGACGCAGACACACAGACACAGATGCAGACACACAGACACAGATGCAGACACACAGACGCAGACACACACACAGACACACACACAGACACTACACACAGACACACACACAGACACTGACGCAGACACACAGACACAGACGCAGACACACAGACGCAGACACACAGACGCAGACACAGACACACACACAGACACACTGACACAGACGCAGACACACAGACACAGACAAACACACAGACACAGACACACAGACACTGACGCAGACACTGACGCACACACAGACACACAGACACACAGACGCAGACACAGACGCAGACACAGACACACAAACGCAGACACAGACACACAGACACACAGACGCAGACACAGACACACACACACAGACACAGACACACACACGCAGACACACAGACACACACACAGATGCAGACACACAGACACAGACACACAGACACACACACAGACGCAAACACACACACAGACGCAGACACACAGACACGCAGACACAGACACAGACACACAGACGCAGACACACAGACGCAGACACACAGACGCAGACACACAGACACAGACACAGACACACACACAGACACACTGACACAGACGCAGACACACAGACACAGACAAACACACAGACACAGACACACAGACGCAGACACACACACACAGACACAGACGCAGACACACAGACGCAGACACACAGACACAGACGCAGACACAGACACACAGACGCAGACACACAGACACAGACACACAGACACACAGACACACACACACTGACACAGACCGTCGAGCAGTTGTTGGTGCAGGGAGCGCAGTGAGTTGAGCAGGTTTTTACAGGCTTTCTTCGGGAGAATCTTCCAGGAAACGGCCTTCTTCTCCTCACAGCTGTGGACACAACACAGCAGGTTTGTGTTTTGTTTTATTTGGGACTTTAGACGTAACAGTGGGTGGTTTGTGTCTGTTGTGTCGCGGTGCTGTTTGTTTTCTCACTGGTAGATGGCGCTGGTGTCCAGGTCCACGCAGCTCACGTCGGGAGGAGGCCGGTGCAGGTCGAAGTAACGCGAGTCCACTCCCACGATGAAGGGACAGGGGGCGTTCAGGACATCGGCGAGAGCCAGAGGACACAGAGGGACGTAGGGACACGCCCAGTGGAACGGGAAGAGCAGCTGAAACACAACGAAACCCAGTTTGAACTGTGCCCCCCCCCCGTGTCAGGGTCGCCTCAGAGATGGATGAATGAAATATATTAATGATGTCGACACTAGGGACGGGCATTCGGTGAAATTTCGGAAGAATTAACGATCGATTATCGATTAATCATTAACGTTGTTATATTAAAATGATCATCATTATTATTACTATCTGCACTAATCTGCATAAATAAATTCAACTTTACGACATATAAACAGAACGACTCTAGATCCACATCAGCTGTTTGACATTATAATGTGTTTAATTCAGTTTTGTTCAAATCTCACAGAAACAAAACTTAAAACCACATCACTAATTTACATAAACTAAGTGAAGATAAAACTCCAGCTCTTGTGTCGCTGATGTGGTTCAACTTGTGTTGGATTAAAAGACATGACTCAGGTGAATACAGGTCAGTGTGACCAGATTTGTGTTTGTCAAAACCAGGACAGCGTACGGGGGGAGGGGGGCGGGGCCTCGTCATCCACATTGAGCGACTCTCACCTGGAAAAACTTTTTCCCACTGGACACAGAAACATATGTGCTGCTTTATCCACTGTGCACATGGACTCACACTTGTCCCAACGCAACGGAAAGTGTGGAATTTCTTCTACAAGTCATCGTTGCACATCATTCATATTTGCACTTCAGTACGCTGCAGACTGACCGACTGTTTGTGTCTTACGGAAGCCGAGAGGGTCACAACAGACGCAAACGCCGCAACAAATACAAATCCGACAACACAACAAAAAGCCACAACACACCAAAAAAAAAAAACATATCGGAAATGACCGCGGGACTCTATTTTAATGCAAACGCCGCAACAAATACAAACGCCACAACACAAACGCAAATGCCGCAACACATTAAAAAGCCACAACACATTAAAAAGCCACAACACATTAAAAAAAGTCACAACACATTAAAAAGCCACAACAGAAGTGACCGCGGGACTCCATTTTCCGACGGACCGATCAAGCGGCAAGTGAAGAAGAAGAACTACAACATGAAAAGTAAAGGAACGGAGAAGTTGGAAACGTAAGTAAAAGTAATTTATTGTTTTATCATTATTTGTTTCACGTTGTAGTTCTTCTTCTTCACTTGCCGCTTGATCGGTCCGTCGGAAAATAGAGTCCCGCGGTCACTTCCGTTGTGGCTTTTTAACGTGTTGTGGCTTTTTAATGTGTTGTGGCTTTTTAATGTGTTGTGGCTTTTTGATTTGTTGTGGCTTTTTGATGTGTTGTGGCTTTTAGGATTACTACATGAATACTGCTACTTACAAATTTAAATTTAAAAACATAAAAAGTTTAACATTAAAAGGAAGCAGTTTATAATTCCGGACATTATGAAGTCATGAATAGAGTGATAATTGTTGTTGGGGTCCAGAGGGGATTTTGGGAACAGTTGGATCAGACAAACAATATAAAGACATTAAAAACAATAAGACGCTCCCAACCTCTTAGAATCCACTACATTTTCCATTTCAGAAAGGCTAAAAGGTCTTGGTTCAGTCCTGGTCTAGTCGTGGTCCAGTCCCGGTGTAGTCCTGGTCCAGTCCCGGTGTAGTCCTGGTCCAGTCCCGGTGTAGTCCTGGTCCAGTCCCGGTGTAGTCCTGGTCCAGTCCCGGTGTAGTCCTGGTCCAGTCCCGGTGTAGTCCTGGTCTAGTCCCGGTCCAGACTCACAGAGGCCAGAGCTTCGGTGACGCTGGTGAGCACAGACGGTCTGAGGGAGTGAATGAGGATCTTGTGTTCGGTCAGAGCCAGAACCAGAAGAGTCACGGCATTTTCTGGAGTCAGGTTCAGGAGCAGAGCAGAGACACTGCCACCGCTGAGGAGAACACACGAGAACACACACAAGAACATACATGAGAACACACACAAACATACACGAACACACAAGAACAAAAGAGAACAAACATGAGAACGCACAAGAACACACATGAGAACACACACGAGAACACACACAAGAACACACATGAGAACGAACAAAAACATACACGAACACACAAGAACACAAGAGAAAGAACACACGAGAACGAACAAAAACACACATGAGAACGAACAAGAACACACATGAGAACGAACAAAAACACACATGAGAACGAACAAGAACACACATGAGAACACACACAAAACACACATGAGAACGAACAAGAACACACATGAGAACGAACAAGAACACACATGAGAACGAACAAAAACACACATGAGAACGAACAAGAACACACATGAGAACACACAAGAACACACATGAGAACGAACAAAAACACACATGAGAACGAACAAGAACACACATGAGAACACACAAGAACACACATGAGAACACACAAGAACACACATGAGAACAAACAAGAACACACATGAGAACGAACAAGAACACACATGAGAACACACAAGAACACACGTGTTCTATACTATAGAACTATATTTATTTTCAATTTGAAAGTTTTGTGTAAATTTTCAATAACAGTGTTTTTTTCTGAGAGAGAAATGTTGAATAAATGCGTCGTGTAACTAAAAAAATAATCGTTTGAATAATCATGATTTCAATATTGAAAATAATCGTGAATTTTTTATTTTTTTTTTCCATAACAACTCACTCAAAAACTCACCCTTATGTCTGAGATAATACTCCCTACAACTGTACAACTATTCACCGTTATGGAAATGCTCAGATTCTGACTTATGGACCAAAAAACAGCAGAGAACACCTTGGGACTTTTGCCTGTGACGTAACAATCCTGTGAAATTCATAATCAAATGTATTTTGAGTGCTTCGGGGGAGCGGACCTACTGAACCGGTTTCATGAAACAAGCACGACTAAAGCAAAATACAGGCGTGTTTTTAATGAGGGAACAATGTTGTAACACGAGTAAAAGTTCAAAGAAAGAACATTCTGAACAATCTGTGTTCTTTAAATCAGATCTATTCTGCAAAATCAGATTTTGACAGATTTTACCCATGTTCCAGTTGTTTCTCTTCACCGTTTACTCACCTGGAGTTGGATCTGAAGTGATTCATGTTTGAGTAATATTTAATCGCTTATTTTCAAGACGTCACTTCGCCGATGAAGTACCCGCTCGCCGTGAAGTACGTGCCCTGTGAAGTACACACCCCACCACGTACACAGCCTGCGCGACGTACGCGCCCCGCGTACGCGCGTACGCGCCGCCGGCCGCGTACGCGCCCCGCCACGTACGCGCCCCGCCACGTACGCGCCCGTACGCGCCCGCCACGTACGCGCCCCGCCCGTACGCGCCCCGCCACGTACGCGCCCCGCCACGTACGCGCCCCGCCGTGAGATGTATCGTATCGTGGCCTAATTAAGAATAAAATCTAAACTTTCTTGGTTGACTAAAAGTTTTCTAGATTCGTTCAGATGAACCGTGTGAGATATAAATGTTGACGTGTGGTACCTGAGCGGGAGCGGCGAGGACACGGGCTGACTCAGGATCAGACTGTCGTGAGGAGACAACTGTGGACACAGGAGCTCAGGTTACACACCACACATGAGATTAAAGCTGCACTATGGAACTTTTCTGGTGCTTGTCTGCACTGTGCTGTTATTGCATTTTGAGAATGTTCCACAGAGTGGCATTAATGCTGTCTGGGGAAAAGAAGTCCTGACTCAAGCCCTGGGTTCAGTCTAGGTTCAAGTCTCTGTTCAAGTCCCAGTTCAAGTCCCAGTTCAAGTCCCAGTTCAAGTCTCTGTTCAAGTCTCTGTTCAAGTCTCTGTTCAAGTCTCTGTTCAAATCTCTGTTCAAATCTCTGTTCAAGTCCTGGTTCAAGTCCTGGTTCAAGTCTCTGTTCAAGTCTCTGTTCAAGTCTCTGTTCAAGTCTCTGTTCAAGTCTCTGTTCAAGTTCAAGTCTGTTCAAGTCCTCAAGTCTGGTTCAAGTCTCAGTTCAAGTCTCAGTTCAAGTCTCTGTTCAAGTCTCGGTTCAAGTCCCGGTTCAAGTCTCTGTTCAAGTTCAAATCTCTGTTCAAGTCCTCAAGTCTGGTTCAAGTCTCTGTTCAAGTCCTAGTTCAAGTCTCAGTTCAAGTCTCAGTTCAAGTCTCAGTTCAAGTCTCTGTTCAAGTCTCGGTTCAAGTCTCCGTTCAAGTCTCTGTTCAAGTCTCGGTTCAAGTCTCGGTTCAAGTCTCGGTTCAAGTCTCGGTTCAAGTCCCGGTTCAAGTCCCGGTTCAAGTCCCGGTTCAAGTCTCTGTTCAAGTCTCTGTTCAAGTCTCTGTTCAAGTCTCTGTTCAAGTCCCGGTTCAAGTCTCTGTTCAAGTCTCTGTTCAAGTCCCGGTTCAAATCTCTGTTCAAATCTCTGTTCAAGTCCTGGTTCAAGTCTCTGTTCAAGTCCTAGTTCAAGTCCTAGTTCAAGTCTCAGTTCAAGTCTCAGTTCAAGTCTCAGTTCAAGTCCTAGTTCAAGTCCTTGTTCAAGTCTCTGTTCAAGTCTCTGTTCAAGTCTCTGTTCAAGTCTCTGTTCAAGTCTCTGTTCAAGTCCTAGTTCAAGTCCTAGTTCAAGTCTCTGTTCAAGTCCCGGTTCAAATCTCTGTTCAAATCTCTGTTCAAGTCCTGTTCAAGTCCTAGTTCAAGTCCTAGTTCAAGTCCTTGTTCAAGTCTCTGTTCAAGTCTCTGTTCAAGTCTCTGTTCAAGTCTCAGTTCAAGTCTCAGTTCAAGTCTCTGTTCAAGTCTCTGTTCAAGTCCTAGTTCAAGTCTAGTTCAAGTCTCTGTTCAAGTCTCTGTTCAAGTCTCTGTTCAAGTCTCTGTTCAAGTCTCTGTTCAAGTCTCTGTTCAAGTCCTAGTTCAAGTCCTAGTTCAAGTCCTAGTTCAAGTCTCTGTCCAAGTCTCTGTTCAAATCTCTGTTCAAGTCTCGGTTCAAGTCTCGGTTCAAGTCCTAGTTCAAGTCCTAGTTCAAGTCCTAGTTCAAGTCCTAGTTCAAGTCTCTGTTCCAAGTCCCGGTTCAAGTCTCGGTTCAAGTCTCAGTTCAAGCCCCGGTTCAAGTCCTGGTTGAGTCCTGGTTTCCGCTCCAAGGCGAAGTTCCAGGTCAGATCTGTGTTTAGGCCGCCCTGCTCACAGTCGGTAGTTGGACGTCGTGAGTCCAGGAGGGGGCAGACTCTCCCACAGAAAAGTTACAGAGTGCATCTTTAATCAGGACCGGACAGGTGAGTCTGGACTCTCACCTGGACCAGGATCCGGGGCCTCTGAGGAGACGGGAACGGGACTTTGTGCATGAAATGAGAAATGTGTCTGGAAAAAGAAAAAAAAAAGTTATTCATTTAAAAAAGGTCCTGTTTAGTCCCGTTAAGTTCGATCTCAGTCTTGTTTTAGTCCCAGTTCCGAACCGGTCCAGTCCTGGTCTAGTCCCACTTCATTCCCAGTTCAGTCCTAGTTAAATCCTGGCTAAGTCCTGGTTCTAGTCCTGTTCCACTTCGGTCTCAATCTTGTTTTAGTCTGGTTCAGTCCCCGTCCAGTCCTAGTTAAGTCCCGGTCCAGTCCTTGTCCAGTCCCAGTTCAATTCTGGTCCAGTTCCAGTTCCAGTCCCAGTTCAGTCCTGCTCCAGTTTGGGTCCAGTCCCGCTTCAGTCCCACTCCAGTCCCGGTCCCGCCCTGGTCCAGTCCCAGTTCAGTCCCGCTCCAGTCCCTCCCCAGTCCCAGTCCAAACCTGGTCCAGCCCTGGTCCAGTCTCAGTTCATCTCTGGTCCAGTTCCAGTCCCACTCCAGTCCCAGTTGAAGTCCCAGTTCAGTCCCGCTCCAGTCCTGCTCCAGTCCAGTTCAGTTCCAGTTCAGTTCCAGTTCAGTTCCAGTTCAGTCCCACTCCAGTCCCGCCCCAGTCCCGCTCCAGTCCGGGTCCAAACCTGGTCCAGCCCTGGTCCAGTCTCAGTTCATCTCTGGTCCAGTTCCAGTCCCACTCCAGACCCAGTTCATTCCTGCCCCAGTTGAAGTCCCAGTTCAGTCCCGCTCCAGTCCCAGTTCAGTCCCGCTCCAGTCCCAGTTACAGTCCCGCTCCAGTCCCAGTTCAGTCCCAGCCCAGTCCCGGTCCCGTCCCCCCCAGTCAGTTCCAGCTCCAGCAAGTCCAGTTAAAGTCCCGCTCCAGTCCCAGTTAAAGTCCCGCTCCAGTCCCAGTTAAAGTCCCGCTCCAGTCCCAGTTCAGTCCCAGCCCAGTCCCAGCCCAGTCCCGGTCCCGCCCTGGTCCAGTCCCAGTTCAGTCCCGCTCCAGTCCCGCCCCAGTCCGGGTCCAAACCTGGTCCAGCCCTGGTCCAGTCTCAGTTCATCTCTGGTCCAGTTCCAGTCCCACTCCAGTCCCAGTTAAAGTCCCGCTCCAGTCCCAGTTCAGTCCTGCCCCAGTCCCGCTCCAGTCCCAGTTGAAGTCCCAGTTCAGTCCCGCTCCAGTCCTGCTCCAGTCCCGCTCCAGTCCCAGTTCAGTTCCAGTTCAGTCCCGCTCCAGTCCCGGTCCCGCCCTGGTCCAGTCCCAGTTCAGTCCCACTCCAGTCCCGCCCCAGTCCCGCTCCAGTCCGGGTCCAAACCCCGGTCCAGTCTCAGTTCATCTCTGGTCCAGTTCCAGTCCCAGTTCAGTTCCAGTCCAGTCCAGCCAGTCCAGTCCCAGTCCAGTCCCAGTCCCCAGGTCCCACTCCAGTCCCACTCCAGTCCGCCCAGTCCGGGTCCAAACCTGGTCCAAAACCTGGTCCAGCCCTGGTCCAGTCTCAGTTCATCTCTGGTCCAGTTCCAGTCCCAGTTCAGTCCCAGTTCAGTCCCAGTTCAGTTCCAGTTCAGTCCCAGCCCAGTCCCAGCCCAGTCCCGTCCCGTCCCGGTCCAGTCCCGGTCCATCCGTCCAGTCCCGCCCAGTCCGGTCAAACCTGGTCCAGCCCGTCTCAGTTCATCTCTGGTCCAGTTCCAGTCCCAGTTCAGTCCCAGTTCAGTCCCGCTCCAGTCCCACTCCAGTCCCAGTTCAGTTCCAGTTCAGTCCCAGCCCAGTCCCAGCCCAGTCCCAGCCCAGTCCCGGTCCGGTCCAGTCCCGGTCCAGTCCTCACTTCTCGATGGGCAGGGCGTGGGGTCCGGAGATGGAGTATCTGTAGAGGAAGGTGAGGAACTTCCTGAAGGCGTGGAAGAAGGGCCAGTGCGAGAGCAGACAGACGCTCTTGGTGGTGTGGACGACGCCCTGGGACCTCGGTTCCGCGTCGCCCTCGTCTGGACGCCGCGGGGAACTGCACGGGTCCGAGTCCAGGCCCAGTTTGAGGCGCTGCTGCTCGCTCAGACACTCCGCAGGGAACGGCTCGTAGAACTGGATCGCCGCTCCGTAAACCTGAAACACGGGGTCAGAGAGAAGTCCTGGTTTAGTCCTGATTCAGTCCTGATTCAGTCCCGGCTCAGTCTTGGTTCAGTCCCGGTTCAGTCTTGGTTCAGTCCCGGCTCAGTCTTGGTTCAGTCCTGGTTCAGTCCAGTCCTGGTCTTGGTTCAGTCCTGGCTCAGTCTGGTTCAGTCCTTGGTTCAGTCAGTGGGTTCAGTCCTGGTTCAGTCCTGGCTCAGTCTTGGTTCAGTCTTGTCAGTCCTTGGCTCAGTCTTAGGTTCAGTCTTGGCCTCAGTCTTGGTTCAGTCTTGGTTCAGTCCCTCAGTCTTGGTTCAGTCTTGGTTCTCAGTCCTTGGTTCAGTCTGTTCAGCTGGTCAGTCTTGGTTCAGTCCTGGTTCAGTCTTGGTTCAGTCCTTGGTTCCCTCCAGTCCAGTTGGTTCAGTCCTGGTTCAGTCTTTGGTTCAGTCTTGGTTCAGTCTCAGTCTTGGTTCAGTCCTTGGTTCAGTCCCTTGGCTCAGTCTCAGTCTTGGTTCAGTCTTGGTTCAGTCCTGGTTCAGTCCTGTCAGTCCTTGAGTTCAGTCCCGGCTCAGTCTTGGTTCAGTCCTGGTTCAGTCCTTGGTTCAGTCCTGTCAGTCTCAGGGTTCCCAGTCCCTTGGTTCAGTCTTTCAGTCTTGGTTTTCAGTTGGTTCAGTCCTGGTTCAGAGTCCTGGTTCAGTCTTGGTTCAGTCCTGGTTCCTCAGTCTTGGTTCAGTCCTTGCCTCAGTCTTGTTCAGTCCTGGTTCAGTCAGTCTAGTCCTGGTTCAGTCCTTGCCTCAGTCTTGGTTCAGTCTTGGTTCAGTCCTGGTTCAGTCCTGGCTCAGTCTTGGTTCAGTCCCGGCTCAGTCTTGGTTCAGTCCTGGTTCAGTCTTGGTTCAGTCCTGGTTCAGTCTTGGTTCAGTCCTTGCCTCAGTCTTGGTTCAGTCCTGGTTCAGTCCTTGGTTCAGTCCTTGCCTCAGTCTTGGTTCAGTCTTGGTTCAGTCTTGGTTCAGTCCTGGTTCAGTCCTGGTCAGTCTGGTTCAGTCCTGGTTCAGTCCTGGTTCAGTCTTGGTTCAGTCCTGGTTCAGTCCTTGGTTCAGTCTTGGTTCAGTCTTGCAGTCAGTCCTTTGGGTTCAGTCTCAGTCTGGTTCAGTCCTGGTTCAGTCTTGGTTCAGTCAGTCTGTCTTTTCAGTCTTGGTTCAGTCCTCAGTCAGTCCGTTCAGTCTTGGTTCAGTCTTCAGTCTTGGTTCAGTCCTTGCCTCAGTCTTGGTTCAGTCCTGTTCAGTTCAGTCCTGCGTTCAGTCTTGGTCTTGGTTCAGTCCTTGGTTCAGTCCTTGGTTCAGTCTTGGTTCAGTCTGGTTCAGTCCTGGTTCAGTCCCTGGTTCAGTCCAGGTTCAGTCTTGGTTCAGTCCTTGGTTCAGTCCTGGTTCAGTCCTTGGTTCAGTCCTGGTTCAGTCTTGGTTCAGTCTTGGTTCAGTCTTTGGTTCAGTCCTGGTTCAGTCAGTCCTGGTTCAGTCTTGGTTCAGTCCTGGTTCAGTCCTTGCCTCAGTTTGGTTCAGTCCTGGTTCAGTCTTGGTTCAGTCCTGGTTCAGTCCAGGTTCAGTCTTGGTTCTATTCACAAGTGAAGCCCTAAACTCTTCTATTTTGCAGTTTTATATTTCGCTGTGATTTGATGTGAAGATTCAGAGGAGACACTTTGTTCTGGGGACGAGACGAGACCAACACCGACGCAGAACCTCGGGCGCTGGAGTTTGTGGTCAGCGGGGGACGCGCGCGCGAGGATCTACGCCGCAGAAATATTACACTCGATATGTTCTACCTTCTCTCCGGAGGCGGCGGTCAGGACAAAGGTGGAGAACACGGGGAGCGAGGGATGAGTGTCACGGGGCCACACCTCCAGACACGCCCCCATCGGCAAACAGAAGAGAGGGACCGACTCGGGGAGGGGGAAAGACGAGTGGTCCTGCTCCGGGTAACGAGAGAACAGACCTGGAACGGAAGAGGAGGAGGAGGAGGGAAGAGTGAAGGACTGACTCGGGGACGGGGAAAGACGAGTCCTGCTCCGAGAAACGACAGAACAGACCTGGAACAGAGAGAGAAAAGTGTCCTCACCTGCTTTATACGCCAGGGTGTTGGTTTGGGCCACAGATTTCTTATAGCACAGATAAACTGGAGTCCCCCACTGAAACAACACAAGATTAGATCTAGAGCGGTCCTGGTTTAGTCCTGGTTTAGTCCTGGTTTAGTCCTGGTTTAGTCCTGGTTTAGTCCTGGTTTAGTCCTGGTCTAGTCCTGGTCTAGTCCTGGTTTAGTCCTGGTCCTAGTCCTGGTGGAGTTGAGGTTGTCGGTCCTGGTTTAGTCCTGGTTTAGTCCTGGTCTAGTCCTGGTCTAGTCCTGGTCCTGTACCATGGTGGAGTTGAGGTTGCGGTCCTGGTTTAGTCCTGGTTTAGTCCTGGTCTAGTCCTGGTCTAGTCCTGGTCCTGTACCATGGTGGAGTTGAGGTTGCGGTCCTGGTTTAGTCCTGGTCTAGTCCTGGTCTAGTCCTGGTCTAGTCCTGGTCTGGTCCTGGTCTGGTACCTGTCATGGTGGAGTTGAGGTTGCAGTCCTGGTCTAGTCCTGGTCTAGTCCTGGTCTGGTCCTGGTCCTGTACCATGGTGGAGTTGAGGTTGCGGTCCTGGTCTAGTCCTGGTCTAGTCCTGGTCTAGTCCTCCTGGTCTGGTCTGGTCCTGTACCATGGTGGAGTTGAGGTTGCGGTCCTGGTCCTGGTCTCCTGGTCTGGTCTAGTCCCTGGTCCTGTACCATGGTGGAGTTGAGGTTGCGGTCCTGGTCTAGTCCTGGTCTAGTCCTGGTCTAGTCTGGTCTGGTCCTGGTCCTGGTCCTGGTCTGGTCCTGGTCCCACATGGTGGAGTTGAGGTTGCGGTCCTGGTCTAGTCCTGTCTAGTCCTGGTCTAGTCTGGTCTAGTCTGTACCATGGTGGAGTTGAGGTTGCGGTCCTGGTCTAGTCCTGGTCTAGTCCTGGTCTGGTCCTGGTCTAGTCCTGGTCTAGTCCTGGTCCTGGTACCATGGTGGAGTTGAGGTTGCGGTCCTGGTAGTCTGGTTAGTCCTGTCTGGTCTGGTCTAGTCTGGTCTAGTCCTGTCCTGGTCTAGTCCTGGTCTAGTCTGGTCTGGTCTGGTGGTCTAGTCCTGGTCTAGTCCTGGTCTAGTCCTGGTCCTGTACCATGGTGGAGTTGAGGTTGCGGTCCTGGTCTAGTCCTGGTCTAGTCCTGGTCTAGTCCTGGTCTAGTCCTGGTCTGGTCTTGGTCCTGTACCATGGTGGAGTTGAGTTGTTGGTCGTCCTGGTCTAGTCCTGGTCTAGTCCTGGTCTAGTCCTGGTCTAGTCCTGGTCTGGTCCTGGTCCTGTACCATGGTGGAGTTGAGGTTGCGGTCCTGGTCTGGTCTAGTCCTGGTCCTGGTCTGGTCTGGTCTGGTCTGGTCTGGTCTGGTCTGGTCTAGTCCTGGTCTGGTCCTGGTCTGGTCCTGGTCCTGTACCATGGTGGAGTTGAGGTTGCGGTCCTGGTCTAGTCCTGGTCTAGTCCTGGTCTAGTCCTGGTCTAGTCTGGTCTAGTCTGGTCTGGTCTGGGTCCTGGTAGTCCCTGGTCTAGTCCTGGTCTAGTCCTGGTCTAGTCTGGTCTGGTCCTGGTCCTGGTACCATGGTGGAGTTGAGGTTGCGGTCCTGGTCTAGTCCTGGTCTAGTCCTGGTCTAGTCCTGGTCCCTGGTCCTGTAGGTCGGTCTGGTCTAGTCCTGGTCTAGTCCTGGTCTAGTCTGGTCTAGTCACCATGGTGGAGTTGAGGTTGCGGTCCTGGTCTAGTCCTGGTCTAGTCCTGGTCTGGAGTCCTGGTCTAGTCCTGGTCTGTCCTGGTCTAGTCCTGGTCTAGTCCTGGTCTAGTCCTGGTCTGTCCTGGTCCTGGTCTAGTCTGGTCTAGTCTGGTCTGGTCTAGTCCTGGTCTAGGTCTGGTCTGGTCCTGGTCCTGTACCATGGTGGAGTTGAGGTTGCGGTCCTGGTCTAGGTCCTGGTCTAGTCCTGGTCTAGTCCTGGTCTAGTCCTGGTCTAGTCCTGGTCCTGGTCCTGGTGGAGTTGGGTTGCGGTCCTGGTCTAGTCCTGGTCTAGTCCTGGTCTAGTCCTGGTCTAGGTCTGGTCTGGTCTGGTCCTGGTCCTGTACCATGGTGGAGTTGAGGTTGCGTCCTGGTCTAGTCCTGGTCTAGTCCTGGTCTAGTCCTGGTCTAGTCCTGGTCCTGTCTAGTCCTGGTCTGGTCTAGTCCTGGTCTGGTCTGGTCTAGTCTGTCCTGGTCTAGTCCTGGTCTGGTCCTGGTCTGGTCCTGGTCCTGTACCATGGTGGAGTTGAGGTTGCGGTCCTGGTCTAGTCCTGGTCTAGTCCTGGTCTAGTCCTGGTCTAGTCCTGGTCTAGTCCTGGTCTAGTCCTGGTCCTGGTCTGGTCCTGGTCCTGTACCATGGTGGAGTTGAGGTTGCGGTCCTGGTCTAGTCCTGGTCTAGTCCTGGTCTAGTCCTGGTCTAGTCCTGGTCTGGTCTTGGTCTAGTCCTGGTCTAGTCCTGGTCTAGTCCTGGTCTAGTCCTGGTCTAGTCCTGGTCTAGTCCTGGTCTAGTCTGTACCATGGTGGAGTTGAGGTTGCGGTCCTGGTCTAGTCCTGGTCTAGTCCTGGTCTGGTCCTGTACCATGGTGGAGTTGAGGTTGCGGTCCTGGTCTAGTCCTGGTCTAGTCCTGGTCTGGTCTTGGTCTAGTCCTGGTCTAGTCCTGGTCTAGTCCTGTACCATGGTGGAGTTGAGGTTGCGGTCCTGGTCTAGTCCTGGTCTAGTCCTGGTCTGGTCCTGGTCTAGTCCTGGTCTAGTCCTGGTCTGGTCCTGGTCTAGTCCTGGTCTGGTCCTGGTCTGGTCTGGTCCTGGTCCTGGTGAGTTGAGGTTGCGGTCCTGGTCTAGTCCTGGTCTAGTTCTGGGTCTGGTCCTGGTCTAGTCCTGGTCTAGTCCTGGTCTGGTCTGGTCTAGTCCTGGTCTGGTCCTGGTCTAGTCCTGGTCTAGTCCTGTACCATGGTGGAGTTGAGGTTGCGGTCCTGGTCTAGTCCTGGTCTGGTCCTGGTCTGGGTCTAGTCCTGGTCTAGTCCTGTCTAGTCTGGTCTAGTCTGGTCTGGTCCTGGTCTGGTCCTGGTCTGGTCCTGGTCTAGTCCTGGTCTAGTCCTGGTCTAGTCCTGGTCTAGTCCTGGTCTGGTCCTGTACCATGGTGGAGTTGAGGTTGCGGTCCTGGTCTAGTCCTGGTCTAGTCCTGGTCTGGTCCTGGTCTGGTCTGGTCTGAGTCCTGGTCTAGTCCTGGTCCTGGTCTGGTCTGGTCCTGGTACCATGGTGGAGTTGAGGTTGCGGTCCTGGTCTAGTCCTGGTCCTGGTCTAGTCCTGGTCCTGGTCCTAGTCCTGGTCTAGTCCTGGTCTAGTCCTGGTCTAGTCCTGGTCTAGTCCTGGTCTGGTCCTGGTCTAGTCCTGGTCTGGTCCTGGTCTAGTCCTGGTCTAGTCCTGGTCTAGTCCTGGTCTGGTCCTGGTCTAGTCCTGGTCTAGTCCTGGTCTAGTCCTGGTCTGGTCCTGGTCTAGTCCTGGTCTGGTCCTGGTCTAGGTCCTGGTCTGTACCATGGTGGAGTCTGAGGTTGCGGTCCTGGTCCTAGTCCTGGTCTAGTCCTGGTCTGTCTGGTTGTCCTGGTCTAGTCCTGTACCATGGTGGAGTTGAGGTTGCGGTCCTGGTCTAGTCCTGTCTAGTCCTGGTCTATCCTGGTCTAGTCCTGGTCTTCCTGGTCTAGTCCTGGTCTAGTCCTGTACCATGGTGGAGTTGAGGTTGCGGTCCTGGTCTAGTCCTGGTCTAGTCCTGGTCTAGTCCTGGTCTAGTCCTGGTCTAGTCCTGGTCTAGTCCTGGTACCTGTCATGGTGGAGTTGAGGTTGGGTCCTGGTCTAGGTCTAGTCCTGGTCTAGTCCTGGTCTAGTCCTGGTCTAGTCCTGGTCCTGGTCCTGTACCATGGTGGAGTTGAGGTTGCGGTCCTGGTCTAGTCCTGGTCTGTCCTGGTCTAGTCCTGGTCTAGTCCTGTCCTGGTCTAGTCTGGTCTGGTCTAGTCCTGGTCTGTCCTGGTCCTGGTCTAGTCTGGTCTGGTCTGGTCTAGTCCTGTCTAGTCCTGGTCTAGTCTGGTCTGGTCTCTGGTCTAGTCCTGGTCTGGTCCTGGTCTAGTCCTGTCCCTGGTCTAGTCCTGGTCTGGTCCTGGTCCTGGTCTAGTCCTGGTCTGTCTGGTCCTGGTCTAGTCCTGGTCTGGTCCTGGTCTAGTCCTGGTCTAGTCCTGGTGGTCTAGGAGTTGAGGTTGCGGTCCTGGTCTAGTCCTGGTCTAGTCCTGGTCTAGTCCTGGTCTAGTCCTGGTCCATGGTGGAGGTTGAGGGTTGCGGTCCTGGTCTAGTCCTGGTCTAGTCCTGGTCTAGTCCTGGTCTAGTCCTGGTCTGTAGTCCTGGTCTACCATGGTGGAGTTGAGGTTGCGGTCCTGGTCTAGTCCTGGTCTAGTCCTGGTCTGTCCTGTCCTGGTCTAGTCCTGGTCTAGTCCTGGTCTAGTCCTGGTCTAGGTCTAGTCCTGGTCTGTAGGTCCTGGTCTGGTCCTGGTCTAGTCCTGGTCTAGGTCCCTGGTCTAGTCCTGGTCTAGTCCTGGTCTAGTCCTGGTCTGGTCCTGGTAGTCCTGGTCTGGTCCTGGTCTAGTCCTGGTCTAGTCCTGGTCTAGTCCTGGTCTAGTCCTGGTCTGGTCTAGTCCTGGTCTGTCCTGTCTGGTCTAGTCTGGTCTAGTCCTGTACCATGGTGGAGTTGAGGTTGCGGTCCTGGTCTAGTCTGGTCTAGTCCTGGTCCTGGTCTAGTCCTGGTCTATGGTCCTGGTCTAGTCCTGGTCTGGTCCTGGTCCTAGTCCTGGTCTAGTCCTGTGGTAGTTGAGGTTGCGGGTCCTGGTCTAGTCCTGGTCCTAGTCCTGGTCTAGTCCTGGTCTAGTCCTGGTCTGGTCCTGGTCTAGTCCTGTCTAGTCCTGGTCTAGTCCTGGTCTAGTCCTGTCCTGGTGGAGTTGAGGTTGCGGTCCTGGTCTAGTCCTGGTCTAGTCCTGGTCTAGTCCTGGTCTAGTCCTGTGTCTGGTCCTGGTCTAGTCCTGTCCCTGTCTGGTGGAGTTGAGGTTGCGGTCCTGGTCTAGTCCTGGTCTAGTCCTGGTCTAGTCCTGGTCTAGGTCCTGGTCCTGTACCATGGTGGAGTTGAGGTTGCGGTCCTGGTCTAGTCCTGGTCTGGTCCTGGTCTAGTCCTGGTCTAGTCCTGGTCTAGTCCTGGTCTAGTCCTGTACCATGGTGGAGTTGAGGTTGCGGTCCTGGTCTAGTCCTGGTCTGGTCCTGGTCTAGTCCTGGTCTAGTCCTGTCTGTCTAGTCCTGGTCTGGTCTGGTCCTGGTCCTGTCTAGGTCCTGGTCTAGGGTCCTGGTCTGGTCCTGGTCTAGTCCTGGTCTAGGTCTGGTCTAGGTCTGGTCTGTCCTGGTCTAGTCCTGGTCTAGTCCTGGTCTAGTCCTGGTCTAGTCCTGTACCATGGTGGAGTTGAGGTTGCGGTCCTGGTCTAGTCCTGGTCTAGTCCTGGTCTAGTCCTGGTCTAGTCCTGGTCTAGTCCATGGTGGAGTTGAGGTTGCGGTCCTGGTCTGGTCCTGGTCTAGTCCTGGTCTAGTCCTGGTCTAGTCCTGGTCTAGTCCATGGTGGAGTTGAGGTTGCGGTCCTGGTCTAGTCCTGGTCTAGTCCTGGTCTAGTCCTGGTCTCTGGTCCTGTACCATGGTGGAGTTGAGGTTGCGGTCCTGGTCTAGTCCTGGTCTGTCCTGTCTAGTCCTGGTCTGAGTCTAGTCCTGGTCTAGTCCTGGTCTGTCCTGTACCTGTCCTGGTGGAGTTGAGGTTGCGGTCCTGGTCTGGTCCTGGTCTAGTCCTGTCCTGGTCTAGTCCTGGTCTAGTCCTGGTCTAGTCCTGGTCTAGTCCTGGTCTGGTCTCCTGGTCTAGTCCTGGTCTAGGTCCTGGTCTAGTCCTGGTCTGGTCTGGTCTGGTCTAGTCCTGTTGGTCTGGTCCTGGTCTAGTCCTGGTCTAGTCCTGGTCTAGTCCTGGTCTAGTCCTGGTCTAGTCCTGGTCTAGTCCTGGTCTGGTCCTGGTCTAGTCCTGGTCTGGTCTAGTCCTGGTCTGTCTGGTCTAGTCCTGGTCTGGTCCTGGTCTAGTCCTGGGTCTGGTCCCTGGTCTAGTCCTGGTCTGGTCCTGGTCTAGTCCTGGTCTACTAGTCCTGTCCGTCTAGTCCTGGTCTAGTCCTGTACCATGGTGGAGTTGGGTTGCGGTCCTGGTCTAGTCCTGGTCTAGTCTGGTCTAGTCCTGGTCTAGTCCTGTACCATGGTGGAGTTGAGGTTGCGGCCTGGTCCTGGTCTAGTCCTGGTCTAGGTCTAGTCCTGGTCTGGTCTGGTCCTGGTCTGTACCATGGTCTAGGAGTTGAGGTTGCGGTCTGGTCCTGGTCTAGTCCTGGTCTAGTCCTGTCTAGTCGGTCTGGTCTAGTCCTGGTCTAGTCCTGGTCTAGTCCTGGTCTAGTCCTGTACCATGGTGGAGTTGAGGTTGCGGGTCCTGGTCTAGTCCTGGTCTAGTCCTGGTCTGTCCTGGTCAGTCCTGGTCTAGTCCTGGTCTGTCCTGTCCTGGTCTGGTCCTGGTCTAGTCCTGGTCTAGTCCTGGTCTGGTCCTGGTCTAGTCCTGGTCTAGTCCTGGTCTAGTCCTGGTCTAGTCCTGGTCTAGTCCTGGTCTGGTCCCTGTACCATGGTGGAGTTGAGGTTGCGGTCCTGGTCTAGTCCTGGTCTAGTCCTGGTCTAGTCCTGGTCTAGTCCTGGTCTAGTCCTGGTCTAGTCCTGGTCTAGTCCTGGTCCTGGTAGTCCTGAGTCCTGGTCTGGAGTCCTGAGGTTGCGGTCCTGGTCTGGTCCTGGTCTGGTCCTGGTCTAGTCCTGGTCTAGTCCTGGTCTAGTCCTGGTCTGTACCATGGTGGAGTTGAGGTTGCGGTCCTGGTCTAGTCCTGGTCTGTCCAGTCCTGGTCCTGGTCTCCTGGAGTCCTGGTCTAGTCCTGGTCTAGTCCTGGTCTAGTCCTGGTCCTGGTCTGGTCCTGTCTGGTCCATGGTGGAGTTGAGGTTGCGGTCCTGGTCTAGTCCTGGTCTAGTCCTGGTCTAGTCCTGGTCTAGTTCCTGGTCTAGTCCTGGTCTGGTCCTGGTACCATGGTGGAGTTGGTTGCGGTCCTGGTCCTGGTCTGTCCTGGTCTAGTCCTGGTCTAGTCCTGGTCTAGTCCTGGTCCATGGTGGAGTTGAGGTTGCGGTCCTGGTCTAGTCCTGGTCTGGTCTAGTCCTGGTCTAGTCCTGGTCTAGTCCTGGTCTAGTCCTGGTCTAGTCCTGTACCATGGTGGAGTTGAGTTGGTTGTGGTCTGGTCCTGTCCTGGTCTGGTCTGGTCCTGGTCTAGTCCTGGTCCTAGTCCTGGTCTGGTCCTGGGTGGAGTTGAGGTTGCGGTCCTGGTCTGGTCTGTTCTGTCCTGGTCTAGTCCTGGTCTAGTCCTGGTCTAGTCCTGGTCTGGTCCTGTAGTCCATGGTGGTGGAGTTGAGGTTGCGGTCCTGGTCTAGTCCTGGTCTAGTCCTGGTCTGGTCTGGTCTAGTCTGGTCTGGTCCTGGTCTGGTCTGGTCTGGTCCCTGGTCTGGTCTGGTCTAGTCCTGGTCTGGTCCTGTACCATGGTGGAGTTGAGGTTGCGGTCCTGGTCTGGTCCTGGTCTAGTCCTGGTCTAGTCCTGGTCTAGTCCTGGTCTAGTCCTGGTCTGGTCCTGGTCTAGTCCTGTCTGGTCTGGTCTGGTCCTGGTCTGGTCCTGGTGCCTGGTCCTGGTCTAGTCCTGGTCTAGTCCTGGTCTAGTCCTGGTCTGGTCCTGGTCTGGTCCTGGTCTGGTCCTGGTCTAGTCCTGGTCTAGTCCTGGTCTAGTCCTGGTCTAGTCCTGGTCTAGTCCTGTACCATGGTGGAGTTGAGGTTGCGGTCCTGGTCTGGTCCTGGTCTAGTCCTGGTCTAGTCCTGGTCTAGTCCTGGTCTAGTCCTGTACCATGGTGGAGTTGAGGTTGCGGTCCACTCTGCAGTAGGTGTGTGGGGTGGTTTCTCCTTTGCTGGGCTGGATGACGCAGATGTCGGTGAGGGCGAGGCCGTGCTGCTGCCCCCTGCTGGCTCGTCTGTAGGAGATGTAGATCCTCTGGGGCGTGTTTCCGCTGACGCTGGCGACTCGTCCTCCGGGTGTCGTCTGGACCAGAGCGCAGCCGGGCTTCAGACGCTCCTTCCACTCGTACAGCACCCTGAGAACAAAACGCGTCAACACGAGCCCCCCTGCAGGCAGCAGAGGGAACTACAGGTGGACCAGACACCGACCCACACACTGAGACTCGTGGACTCGACCAGGTCCTAGAAGAGACGCATCAACAATCTCGAACTTCTGGTTGTTGCGCAATTCACACTGAGAAGCATTTTCTGAAAAAGTGAGGATCAAACCTCCATGTTTGTTTTTACAGTGGGACGTGTCTATTGACAAAGTCGTTCTTTTCAAGTGTTTTGAACCATATCACTTTTGTTTCTGGTTTTGAGTAGGGACGGGCATTCAATAAAATTTTCTTAATCGATCGTCGGAAGAATTAACGATCGATTATCAATTAATTAAAATGATCATCATTATTATGACTATCTGCACTAATCTGCATAAATAAATTCAACTTTACGACATATAAACAGAACGACTCTAGATCCACATCAGCTGTTTGACATTATAATGTGTTTAATTCAGTTTTGTTCAAATCTCACAGAAACAAAACTTAAAACCACATCACTAATTTACATAAACTAAGTGAAGATAAAACTCCAGCTCTTGTGTCGCTGATGTGGTTCAACTTGTGTTGGATTAAAAGACATGACTCAGGTGAATACAGGTCAGTGTGACCAGATTTGTGTTTGTCAAAACCAGGACAGCGTACGGGGGGAGGGGGGCGGGGCCTCGTCATCCACATTGAGCGACTCTCACCTGGAAAAACTTTTTCCCACTGGACACAGAAACATATGTGCTGCTTTATCCACTGTGCACATGGACTCACACTTGTCCCAACGCAACGGAAAGTGTGGAATTTCTTCTACAAATCCTGGTTAAATCCACATTTGTGCTTCGGTTCGTTACAGACTGACCCACTGTTTGTGTCTCGCTCCTTCTGATGCAGAGACACATGTACACACCTGTTTGGTCACGACACACAAACATACATTCAGTTTGTCAATTAAAATTTACATAATCGATGAAATTCTTAATGATCAATTGTCGATTAATCGATTAATCATGCCCATCCCTGGTTCTGATATTGTCATTATTTTAGTTTTGGGATTTGGACATCATAATCGTGTGGTTGTTGGATCCTAACAGCGGAAAACGAC